CTGCTGCTGCTTCAAAGGTGCATGGAATTCTGTAGACCCTTGCTGTAGACGTTCTGTTATGAACACTTCCGCAGCAGCCTGTCCCAAAGACTTTGCCTGAAGGAGGTCGTTCTTCAATGCATCACTTGCAATGACCCCAGATGAAATGTGGAGAAGATCGTTTCCTTGGTTCTCAAATGGATTGACCATACTATGTATAGTGTCACAGATGGCTTGTATGTCACTATTGTCCTTCTTCACACGGGAGGCTTGCAGATCTTTCAACTCTGTTGAAGAAGGCGACTTCCCAGCCAATTCTTCACACTGCCGCTGAATGGCAGCTTTAAGGTGATGTGAAAGCAGCCATCGATGGAAATAGCTCCGACTGGTACTATATCCAATGACTCCTCCTCTTGACTTGGTATCCCTGTTGACAGTCTGTTCTATCATCTGATCACCTGCTATTCCTGAAAAGCCGTGGGCAGTTTGGCGGTGAACCACAAAATCACCTTCAAGAAATGCTTCAGCTATTGAAGGATGAGTCACGGGCAGCATGTGCATCTCAAGCCAGTATGCAGACATATACCGAGAATAGTTCAAATGGTCATAAGCAAAAAACCAAGGGAGAAGACTTCGGGCTGCAGACAAGTGCAGAGGCCAATTGCCCTCCTTTGTTGCTCTGTTGAAAAGAAGCAAAGACTCGACCATCTCGATGTAAGAGGACCAGAATGCAAAAGTGGGTCTTGAGGACTGAGTCTCAATGAAGAGGGAGTACTCATCAAGCAGGGCCTCAAACTGTTCACCCTCAATCACTTTCCTGTGATCTGAAGACGGGAAAGTTGTATGCATCTTCAAGAGAACGTCAGATGCTTCCTCCTGCTGCTCATCAGGAAGAGTCTTCATGAAACTGAGCCATCGCAGGCGTTCCATAGCTTCACAGAGAAGCTTATGTGCCCGAAGACTCCTGTTGAAATGATGTCCTGACAACACACCATTCACTGAACCTGTTGCAATAAGGCCACTTTCAATTATGATGTCCTGCAGACCGCCATCCTTAAACCGTTTACCAATGCATGCAAGAAAGTTCATGGTAGTATGAAAATCTCCCATTCTTACAACAGTCCTTGCAGAGAGGTGTGGATCCTTCCATCTTATCTGCTGAGCCTTACTGTAGATGGCTTGGTCACATACTATCACCACTGTATCCTGTTGCAAAATTGTGCCTATCTTCACGCTCTTGTGAAGTATGGTATTGATCGTATCCTTTTGAGTTGGGGAGGCATCAATGGATGGGAGATAGAAGATGTTGGACGCCAAATTTGTGGAACAGCTTAGTTGTGTGTTGTAACCTGTCCAGCTTGGTAATAGGCTACCGAAACGATGAGGTATCCTTGACAGCCTAAATGCAGAATCCAGTTTCCTTGGCTTCTCCTGGATATCATGATAGACTTCCTCCTTTACAGCAATATGCTGTCCAAATGGTTCAGGCCCATTCTTTAGCATTCCGAAGTATGGGGTCAAGTCTGCTGTGGGTGTTTTGATGGATCTCTTGTGTGTTCTTGGTAGGCTCTGCTTATGCGTTTGATTATCTTGATCTTGATCAGGAACAGGGACATGCTTTTGATGCTGAATGAGGATGCCTGTTGTTATGTGGGTCGTGCCTTTTCCTGATAGAGTTTCCTCAGAGAAGTCGTTGTTGTCCCACACCAAAGTTGTAAGGCATGGCTTGACACCTTCAGGGAGCACATCTTCACCTCTATTCAGCTGCTGTTCTGCAAGTGCAGTGTCATGCTCAAGTACCATGGAATGACTGCTACAATGCCCAAACCCATTGAGTATTCCAATCAGCCTTGCAGAGCCGGTCATGTGTCTCACGGTCATGGCTAAAGAAGAATGTTTGGGGAGAATTATACTACCTTTACAAGACATGTACATAACATCCTGACACATAGATAATAACTTTCTTTCATCCTCTACACTTACATCTACAAGCTTATTGACCTCTGGCTCATTAGTCGAGTTTACAACCCAGGAGAGAAAGTTGAAGAGTATGGAAGGGATTGCTTCTTTAGCTGCTTCTGGGGTCAGGTCAGGTGATGTTGGGGGCCACTGCTCTTGCTCCTTACATCTGGTACAGGCAGTTTTGACAGCAGCTTTCAGGATCTGTGTTAACAAAAGACAAGAGGGAAAAAAATTACTAATGGAAATAAAAACATATATAAAATAAAATAATACATGTACATGAAATACAAAAAATAAAAAGTAGTTTTGAAAGAAACGCCAAAATAATTAGAGGTTGTTATGTATGTAATATCCAGTGTACAAATTGATAACAATATAGCTGTTAGATAAAAAAAAAAAGAAGAAAAGAAGATAAACACCAACTGAAAGGAGCAGCCCCCCCCCCCCCCCAACCAAAAGTAAAATATATACATATGTTTTCACTATATAACAAATTTGAAAAAACTTGAGTAGCAATTACAATGAACAGTAAAATAATGAGAATACACTCTCAAATAATTGAGAACTAAATTTATGAAATAAAAGTCTCAAAATACCTGGGATGCATGGTAGAGCATTAATAGTTGTTGGGGCCCTGGGTTTGTTGATGATCTGGACATGGCAGCTGATTCTTCATCTGAGGCAGACTCTTCACTGAATGATGTGCTAGTTGCTTGATCTTGCTGTACAGCGTGCTCAGCAAGTGATGATGCCTCCATGTCACCAACCATCACAATCTCACTTTCATTCTGTCTCTGCGGGGACACGAATATGAGCTGAGGGAATGTTACTTGTAGTCGCTGTTTCAGTTTCTTGGTCTGGTATGATGACAAGTCCACTCCTTCGTTTCTCAAACCTGCCTTAACGAAGGAACGATGCAAGTCCTTGAGTCTGAGCACCTCTTTGTCTTTCACAATCCTCCTCCTTATCAGATCACACAAACAGTTGTAAGTGGGAGTGAAGAGATCATCAGTGTCGGTACTTGTTGCAGCTCTCTCTGCTCGGCGCAGACAGGAGGTGAAGTCCTGGTAACAACTTTTGTGATATTGTAGCTCTATAGCTACCATATCCTTTCCGCGGATCTGCATGAGGATGCGGGTGTGTTGCCGCATCTCAGCTGCCTTCAGGAACTTTGTAGCTGAAACCTGTTCGCACCTAGAAACGGGGACCTTGAATCTCTTGCCTGTAAGTTTACTAGTCTTCCATTGAATCTTTCTGCATACAATGCATTCTGCTGGCAGGACATGCCGACCTTTCGTAGGGGAAAGACTCGATCGCAGCATCTTTCTTGGAGGTGCAGACTGAAGACTGCCTTCTTCAGCCGATTCCACATCTGCATCTGGAAAAGAAAAAGAAATTGTAATGGTAAAATTTGTATAATAAATTTGAATCTAGATCTACAGTTTTCTCGCATAGACCCTAATGATTAATGGCTGTTTATACTGCATTATGGCTGCATATATCCACTGCCTGTGACCACGAAATGCATCATAACATAATAATAACCACCAAAGATGGTAGCAGCATGCAGATCTACCGTTTAGTTAGTTACCTGACTAGATAATTAAAAGTTACCAGCATTAACCGGCTTGGATTTATGCAAAATAAGTCCTGCCCTGGCTGCCCATATCCAGATATCAGTCTACTACTACTACTACTACTACTACTACTAGTATACTACTACTACATCTACTACTACTATACTAGTTGGCAGTCATGGCGGTGGGGGTTCAACTTTCTTTGATTTTTGTTGAGTTTGAGCCATTGACATGTTCATAGACTATAATGAAGTTTGACTTTGAGTTTTGACCCGTTTTAATTTGAGTTGTATTCAAACTCTGAAATCTGAAGTTAAAATTGAACCTACCTTCAGCTTTTCGTTTTTCCATTCTAATCTCTGCCCTGACAAGTTTTCCAACATTGCAAAAATGCTGGTAGCACCTACGATGGTACGAGGCTTGAGTGGGAAAAGGTGAACTTTCATGGTGATCCTGATCTTGCTGCCGGTGAGGCTCCTGTCCGTGCAGGTCAATCCCAAACTTCTCCGCAGCACGAATAGCTACCTTTGTTTCGGCACTTTCAACTCGACTCCATCGAACACAGCAATCCTTGAATTTAGACCAGCTTTTCTCATGAAAAAATGAAACTTTCCCTTTTCCATGGGGTACAACATGCATGCAGCAGGCAGGCGACGGTGATACAATGTCATCTTCGTTGTCGGAATCCGATGAAGACGAAGTCACATCCATATTTGTTATTGTGGATTCTGCCCGTACACGTGTGTGTACGAATGCAGTGTAAAAAAAAATAGATAGCGCGAACGAGGCTGAGCAGCCCGTATGCTATCGCACGCTATTGCGGACGTCGTGAAAATCTCTAACGCACGCGGTGAATATCGGCCTTTTCATTGAATTCTATAGTACAATTTCTCGTAATATTTTATTAAATTGTGAGTTAAAATGTGCGCTTCAAGATTGGCAACATCTCTAATTTACTTTTGTTTATTATTTTACATATTATCATATCAAAGAAGCGTGGTTGCATTTGCCGCCCCACGGAAATTCACAATTTCAGTGGTCATCCCACAGTCTATTTGAACACAGGCTGAAGCCTAAGCCTCTATATTCAGTTCCAAATTCTGTTTGTTGTTTTAAGTGGTTGAATCATGCCAGAGTTAGTCAGTGTCAAATTTGTATTTGACATACAGTACATTCACCAATTTTTCAGAACATGTCCGGACCGTGTTCAAAACTGTAGATGTCGTGTGCATTAACTACATGTAGATCTTCATTTAAAGCCCCGCTGCACTACTTGTAGCTACATGCACTTGCGCCCTCTATACAGCCAATTATGCCTAAGCTGTACCTGTTGATCCCCCAAGGTCCCCTTTTTCTTATGTTAATTGAGAGCTGATTTAATGAGATAACCACCTGTCAGTGACCGTGCAGGGAGGTCTAATCCCTCTTGGCCAAACTAGTGCAGATAGGCTTTAAACTTCAACTTTTGTTCTCTGGTTTTAGCTCGTCGATGGCCACACCCTCTTTGACTACCGCATCAACCTCAATGACACCATCCAGCTGATGATGAGGGCCGCGCCCGTCGACGAGGAGGACGAAGCAGAAGCAGAGGATACTGAGGTCACTGAGGTCGAAGGCAAAGATGGGGACAAGGAAAGCGAGGGCAAAGCCGAGAGTGGATTCGGATCGGAGACCAGCGATTCGGAGAACGTGGATGCCGCAACGAAGGACGGCACTAAAACTGTCGAAGCATCCACTAGCCAACTGAGGGGGCTATTCAAGGTACAAATTTTATTTCATCATGATATTGAAGGGTCAGTAACATAAAGACGTAACTCCATTTTGGCCGTTTTTAGAAAAAGTGGTTTATGTGTCACTGAGCACTTGGGCTTTAAGAAGGAGTTAAGTCTCTGTTTCACTAGCCATTGACATACTCATTTTGGCAAAATATGGAGTTACGTCCTTGTGTCACTGAACCCTTGATATGTTGATTAACAGAGAAGTGTTAACCCTGTGTATATCGACACAGGGTTATCCTGGCCAATGGATTTAATTATGATTTCAAACCTAACAATGCATATTCTTCACTAAACAGAGTATTTTAGCCAGATAACATGGAAGACTCTCGGTCAAGCCAGCAACTGCTACATTAAACTTGATTTATAATCACAAGATATGTGCTTGAAAATCAAACAAAACTACTTCTTATTCTGTCATGAGAATAACTATAAAAATAGAGAAACCTGCCATGACACTATGTGGATTTTGGAGAACAAATGAAAACTTACAGTTTGTAACTTAGCGATCACCTATGACTGCTGGCTTCAAATATCAATAGGGACTTTTAGATTTGCACGAAGACAATGTGGATTGCTACGGTCGACGTCCTTTTAATGCACTGCCACGTCACACGTATCAGTCCACGCAAATCTAAAAGTCCTTATTATCGGATGTGGCTGCTACCCCAGCCCTATTATATAGTGTAACCTCTTTCTACATAATCTGTTTGCAAACTGACAGTACAGTGTTGTTCATACATTTGTATACATGTATAGAAAGCACAACAGCTGCGTGCATGCCTAACAATGCAGTTTCTATTTTCAAAAATGGAATGAATAAAAGAGTAATGGAGTTTAGTGCCTAATTACTATTAGAATAAAGTTGTCCTCGCATAGGCTTAACTTCCTGACTCTGAAATGAACAAGATTGCGAGGTTTTTAATGTGAGGAGGATATTGGTAGATTATTGCTTTACCTGACTGCTGATAAAGAATTGATATGTTTGCAAGTAATAAAGCAATCAGGGGACAGATGACTTAAGTCTTCTCTGAGGGACTTGGTAATGAGGATTAATGCCTCATCAAAGGGACCTCTCTGTTACGAGACCACTGCACTACCGCTGAGCCATCCCGCTTTCCAAAAAAAAGGTTTTCTAATTTTGTTTTCTTTCTCTCCCTTGTCAGGTTGGTGATGTCGTAGATGGCATAGACATGAGCATGGGGGCCTGGTTTGAGGCGGACATTGTGAAAATAACTGAAAAGGAGGAAGAGGAGGAAAACGAAGAAACAAACAATAACAATGAAAGCGAGACCAAGGCAAAGGATGAGAAAGCTCTAGACCAGGTCCAGGACAAACCTGAAAAAATGGACCAGAATGAAAATGAACCAGCATTACCCAAAGACTCAGAAAATGAGAAAAATGTGCTAAATGTTGATGCTGGCACCCCCATGGACACAGAGTGCAATGATCCAGCATCACAAAGGACATGTGGCTCAGATGAGTCCATTTTAAAAGAAGGGGGTAGTGGGGTCATCCAGATTGCAGGGAAGCATGACTCACACTGGACGAGGCATGATGGACTTATATACCACGTGAAGTATGAAGGGTATGATATCTTTATTTCTGTTAGTACAGAGTCTCGTTGAAGTTGAATCTGAAAACAAGCAATATTTAGTTTAAAAGAAATATGCACTTAAAACTACATGTACTGTACTTAATTATAAAATGTGATGTTTATGTATTGTATGTATGGTGCTTATTACTTGCTATATATATATAGGTAATTGCTGTCTTGAATTCGCGTCAAGAAAACAAAGTAGTATTGCTATTTCATTGTGACATGGTACACTTGCCTCCCTGCATTCAGTAATATACAAATTAGAATGAAAAACAAACTAGTGGTTGAAAAGAGCATGAACATAAAGAATCATTAAATCCGTCAGCCTTGGGAAAGCTCTCATAACAAAATTGAATTCAGTACACAAGACCTTGGTAAACTTAATATTGTTATGTCAATGAGACCGACACCAGACCGATAACACCTTGAACAGATTATCTGGAATGGACATTTATTGGTCAGTAGAGAGACAGTATGGAGTTGATTTGGCATTGTTACTAAGGTATATATTGGTAAATATAACTTTAATTGTTGTTGATCTTTAGTGATGTTTACACATCTAATTCTCACAGAAGCCAACTGTTGTCGATGAAATTGCCTTGGCATATAATGAAGCTTTCAGCTAGACTTCTTAAAATTATGCTCACAGTTATTTTCACTGAATTTTTGTAATTATGTGTTTTGTATTCAGGTATGATGAGGAAGGCATTGCTAAGATCAGTAGCCGCAGCATACGACCACGAGCCCGCACAATGATCGACTACGAGGACGTCACTGTCGGTGACATCGTCATGGTGAATTACAACTGTGATGAACCTAAGCAGAGAGGTTACTGGTACGACATGGTCGTCAAAAACAAGGTGATTTCAGTTTAATCATTTGAATGGAACATTATATGCTGTGGGGTGATTCCATAGTAAACAATTTCTTTCTGTTTATCATCATAACTTGTAGTCCGTCTGCCTAAGCTATTTGATTGTTTTTCAACCACAATAAAACCTCCTCAACATCATTTCAGGCTTCTTGCAATAGATGTGTTTATGATTTCAAGCTCATTAGATAAAACCAACTTCTCTCCCAATTGAATTCTTAACTACATTACCATGGATAAAAATTCTTTTTCATTTCCTCAAAGAATCCATCTGCTTAAGGTTCTCATTTTGGAGAAGGACGTTCAATGTCTTAACCAATATTTAAAAGTCCCTATCATTTTGTTATATTTTTTAAACAGGATTGCAGTAAAGGGACACACATTTTTCTGAATGTCTGAACTATACTGTATATAAAAACATCCTGAGCAGGATTTCATTTTTCATAAACGGTGAATGTGTAATGCATTCAGCTCTCTATTACGTAATATGGTTTGAAAAATGAAGTTTAGAAGGACTAGCATCAGATAGGTAGAGGATCCAAATGTTTTTGTTGATATAGGCAGAGGCAAATAAGGATATGATAATGCTGACATTAATTGTCGATTGTATTTGTTTGTGGTGTATTTCAAGGAGGATGTGCTAACTTCTTGATCCTAATGGTACAGGGAAATTTATGTTCTTAGAGGAACATTTTTAATGATGTGGAAAAGATTACCAGGCAAAATGAAAGAATCAGGACGTTCAGTGGTAGACCATGTTGTTTCAGTCTTTTCTTAAATTGTCAATTGTATTTGTTTGTAGTGTAAGGAGGATGTCTTAACTTCTTGATCTTAGAGGAATCTTTTTTTAATGATGTGGGAAAAAGATCCTAAGTTGGACTTCACAAGCATGGGAAGCTATTAGCATCTTTGAAAATATTTTGTAAAAGTTATTTTAAAAGGCATAAAATATTGATTCAGTCTGTCATATTTTCTATTATCAATTAAGGATATTTCTTGTTCTTGATGTGGAATTTATGAAAAGTCTAAAATACTTCAATTTCTGCTTTTGAATATATTTCATTTTAAGGCTACAAATGGCTCTCCATAATTTTAAAGTCCAACTTAGAGTTACAGTAAGTTCTACTTAGGATCTTTGTGAAACACCCCCCAGGACGTGAAGTGGTAGTCCATGATCTTACAGTCTTTTCTCGTCGTGAGAGAGAGAACAGGACGTACAAAGTGATGTCTTTATTCTTTTTTGTACGTTTGTTTTGTATTGTAGAAAGAGACAAGGTCGTACAAGGAGTTGGCGGGGGACATCCTCCTTGGCCCGAGCGGTGATGTCCTGAAGGATTGCAAGGTCCGTCTGACAGAGGAGATCTTCAAGACTGAGAAGGTTGGAGAGTCGACATGTGACGCCGCCACGTTAGAAGCAGAGGGAACTCCCGTCAAAAGTAAAGATCCTCTCTTGAAAATCTTTAAAGATTCCCCTTTTCTCTGGTCAAATTGCTGATGTAGATTAGAGGGAACTGCCGTCAAAAGTAAAGATCCTCTCTTCAAAATCTTTTAAGATTCCCTTTTTTCCCTGGTCAAATTGCAGATGTAGATTAGGAGAGGGAACTCCCATCAAAAGTAAAGATCCTCTCTTGAAAATCTTTAAAGATTCCCCTTTTCTCTGGTCATATTGCAGATGTAGATTAGCAGAGGTAACTCCCGTCAAAAGTAAAGATCCTCTCTTCAAAATCTTTAAAGATTCCCTTTTTCCCTGGTCAAATTGCCGACGTAGATAAAGGATAAAAACGAGTCATTAGCTAATGATTTTGTAGTGCCCCACCCCCTCATTGTCAGTTATATTTGATCTAGAATTGTTGATGTAAACCTCTAACGAGGAAATGAACTAAGTGCTAAACTTCATGTGAAAATTACCTTTTAATGTGGTAAATCTTGGTTTCAAACTGAAGTAGTGTTCTTATACTATATGATAAAATAATAAATAATATGGATATTTATATAGCGCCGGTATCCACCAGGCTCTGACGCTCATGGCGCTGTACATACATGTATTACTATCACAAAAATATAACATTCTTAACTAAAATAAAGTAAACTAAAACAACACAAATTATTACGCTACATTGACATGATTAAATAGCACTGTTTAGAATTACCTAGCCATGTGATAAAGATGAAGTAGGAAATATATATAGTATGTTTTAAGGTCAGGTACTAGCTCTTCTCTCTATAGTTAAAGGCATCGTTTAACAATGTTAAGTCTTAGATGCATGGCCCTATCTGTTATCACTGTCTGTGATATGGTGTAATACTGAAGCCCTAAAGAAATTGCACTTCAAAATGATCATGAAGTGCCTCAAAAAAGTATAGAGTCTTTGAGTGACCGGTTTTACCATACTCATTTTCCCAATAGACTGTAGTGTTATAAAAACTGTTAGGAAAACGACATTTTGAAATTTTGATTTCCAATTGTAAATATCTTGATAATCAGACAGGTGTTCGGCTTGTAAAAGTCATGGGGTTCCTAGCTGACCTAAAGGTTTGTAACTATCATTGCAGCATGAGCTAAATACACGATTTTGTTTCAGAATCCGAGACAAAGATACCCAATCCCTTTAAGTTCCTTTTCCCTAATGTTCAGATTAGAACGCACCAAATGCAACAATCAAATTTAACATCTCCTTATTAATTTATGTCATAATTCAATTCACCTTTTATGTTTGTTTCAGGAACCACAACGCCAAACTGCGCACACTGCAAAGACAACCCTCGAAGGAAGTGCAAGCACTGCGCATGTCACATGTGCGGCAACAAGGAGGATGATGACAAGACGTTGCTGTGTGACGAGTGTGACATGCCGTTCCATATCTACTGCCTGGACCCGCCCATGGAGTCCATACCTGATGTCGATGAATGGTAAGCTACAAGGTCACCTTGAGGTGATGGAGCAGGCTTGCTTATTTTGTTTGTTTATGTTTGTTTGTTCGTTTGTTTAACATTATTGCTAAAAAAAAAGCATAAGTATGCTTGTAAGTAGGCAACCAGAGGACTGACAGCTTTAAATCCTTCCCGAAGGACTTGGACAGTAGCACATCGACTTGGTTTCGAACCCAGGATCTCCCGGTTACGAGACCCCTGCTCTACCACTGAGCCATTACACCTGCTTTTCAATAATATTTGTGGCAAGTGAAAAATCACAAAAGTGTAAGTCGTTATCAGACTATTGGCAGAATGATCAAGAGCCCCGTCTCTGCTTGAAGCTCTCTTTCTGGCGGATATTACACCGGTACGGTGACTCACAGAAACATACATGTTCATTGAAATCCAAAGAAAATATGTATCAAATAACTTCATATTTCATGGAATGTTGGTGAACTTGTACTCATAGTTGTGAAAAGATGCCCTGCTTTCTTGCTTTTTCTCAAAATACATGTATTTGTTACGATTGTTGGAGAGGAAAAAACCTGTTACTCACACTGTTATGTAAATTGTTGCATGCCGTCATATATTCTGATTCATTCTTGCGCAACCAAGTTCAATTTTCAATATGTCAATGTTAATTTATTTATCTTCCGACATTTAAAAACATGATGATCATACATAAAATAATGAAGTAATAGATGCATTAAAACTGTTCAAAATGGGAAAGACCTAAAAGGATCATTTAGCGAGAAATTTTTGACAAGCATCCAATTATTTGCATAGGTCCTGTTATTGGGGAATATTATACTGTTGTCATGCTTGATGGTCATGCTTGAAAGAAAAATAGTTTTAGGGAAAGAAGTAACCACGTCCTGGACTTGAATCTATTAATCTGCCATCCTTCAGGACAGCCATGGATGAAATAGAAGAAAAAACATGAGCTAAAGTAAAGTTCCTTTTCCAGGGAGGTTCTTAAACATGGACTTTCTTTTAGCTTTTCTCTTCACAAGTTTTATGTAAAATTGAGATCCAGCTGTATACATCATACTTACTAAGCCAAGTTTCAGCTCCTACAGAAGATTAAAAAGACTACTTTTGGATCCTATTGCAACATTTTATGATAATTGATTTGCTTGAAGAAAAGAAAAAGATTGATTTTAAAACATACGTTATTTACACTGCAAGTTAACTGCTAGAAAATCACTGAAATATTTCAGGGTAACTTGAGACTCTTGTATTTGCATGAATGTTTGATTGACATCTTTAGAACAGGGACAACATTGCTTTCATATCTTTTTCTAGGTATTGCTTTGTATGTAAGAATGATGGTCTACATGATGTTAGGGCTGATGAGAAAGAATTTTGGTCTGTAGGGCAGAAATAAAAACATTGATGTGATATGGTTAATTCCATAAATTAGGGACCCACTTTGTGACATTTTTGGTGTCCCTGTTGCACAAGGAACCCACACATATTTGTGTCTCTGAGTAAAGACTCAAATAGTGAAGTGAGATTGTAAAGTGATTTCCAAGCATAATAGTACATCCCCATACCTAGAATCACTTAACAATCATACTCCACTATTTAAATATGTGTGGGTTCCTTATTGACAGGGACACCAAAAATGTCACAAAGTGGGTCACTAATTTATGGAATTAACCATAAACAAACTTTGTAATTATTGTTTTATTTAACAAAAACAAATTTGTATTTTTTTTTTTGCCAGGTACTGCCCTCTGTGCAAAAATGATGCATCAGAAGTCGTCATGGCCGGACAGAAGCTCAAGGCTAGCAAGAAGAAATCCAAGATGGCATCAGCAACATCGACCTCTCAGAGAGATTGGGGAAAGGTAAGGTCAAAGTTCACAGGTCAAAACTTGAGTTTGGCATCCCTCTAAATTTATCTTGACAAATATCCTGCTCAGTGCAATATCTGTGTAACTACTCTGCGATGAATATCAGTACTGTTTTATCAATATTATCAATGACCTCCATTTGCAGAAATAATGAGCATTTCTGTTTCTTTCGTTGATTGTTTTAGGGTATGGCTTGCCAGGGTAGGAGCAAGGTTTGCACAATAGTCCCACCCAATCATTTTGGTGCTGTCCCAGGTATCCATGTAGGACAGCTATGGAGGTTCAGGGTTCAGGTAAGTTTGTGTATATATAGCCTGCTTTTGAGAGCCTGGGGGGTGTTTCACAAAGACTAAGATCAACTTTAAGTTGGACTTAACAATGGCAGGACGTTTTTTTTTTTACCATTTACTGGTATTGGTCCCTCAAGGGACGTACAAGTCATGGTCTCAAATCTATAGAATTTACATTTATTGATCAATTTATCATTGAAGGAAAAAATATTATCTAAAGATCATAATGTATATATTTATATACGTTTTTTAAACATACATATTCAAAAATACATAAATGGCATTTAAAAATACATACATGCATTATGCATTATAAATATTTATTTATGTTTATGTATGTAGACTCGAGATATATTGCTATTTTGTTAAAAAAATATAGGAGAAAGGGAAAATGGAGAATATTTGTTATTGTCTACACATGACTAATCTGTACATTAATGGGAACAAATTGCCTCAATGAAATATTTCTTGCTTTATATTATCAATCTTTTTTCTCACTACGACCAAGGAAATTTAGTTATATGTGTCGATATTGTTAATTTTTCAGGTTAGTGAGGCTGGAGTTCATCGACCCCATGTTGCCGGTATACATGGTCGAGAGATTGAAGGGGCATACTCTATCGTGCTGGCAGGTGGATATGAAGATGATCTGGTGAGTTTCGCTCATACTCATAATGATAATAATAATATTCAGTTCTTGTATAGACCATTTATAATGTCTCTATGTGCTTCCAAAGCGGAAATTATTACCCTGCCTTTAGCACGGCGCTCTAGCATTTCAAGGAATTAACATTAGTGCTGTGGCAGGACTTGAACCGCGGACCAGTGACATATCCACTTGACCATGACACCTCTACATAAAGGCTCGTTCAGATATGATGCGGTAAATAGCTGTAAAAAAACGTGTCTGTTTTTTTATGTGTAAACGAATGGCAACCTTGTGGAACAATGGTCCTGACCATATTCACTTCGCTCTGTGTGTTATGACATAGAGAAATGTGAGGCGTAGTACAATATTCAATATTCAAATTTTATTGTCCAATGATTGGAAATTTGTTTCGTTTGTATGTCAGTACAAGATTACGGATTATAAACATCAATAAGATACAGATGGATACAGAATAGAACATTTGACTTGAACATAGGTAACACAAAATGCGATAGTTCACCATGCAGACTAAAATTTGATTCATAATTCAGACTAAGTAGTTAAATTCAATTCATAATTCGGATTAAATTAAATTCATAATTTGGATTAAATTCAATTCATAATTCAGATTAAATTAAATTCACAATTGAGATTAACTTCAATTTATGATTCAGACCAATTCAATTCATAATTCAGATCAAATCCATTAAAATCTCTTATGTCATCATAAAAAAAAGCGTGTATCTGGTCGATGCCTTGGGGTGAGTTAAGTTTGACCTATTTTAATTTAGTCCAATGATGAGCACAAGGTGTTAATCGTCATTCTGTTCAATTATCTATTATGCTGTAACAAATGAAATAAACAATGAAATTTATTTATCCATGAAAACACAGTATTGATTGTATAGACTAGTCACAAAAGGCCAGTCCCCATCAGCCTGAGTTGGCCAGCTAGCCCGCTATTTCTGATCCAGGAAATTAGCCAGATCATGAAACAGCAAGCTATTTGCTCTCGAAATCTTCCCAAGATATCTTGGGCTAGTTTGCAAAATAGCCAGCTATTTGTGGTTCGTCTTCACAAGCCTGAAGAAACGCACTATGCGCAAATAATAAGCAAATTTCACAAGCTTATTTCTCGATTAACTTCAGGCTAATTTCCCCAATCACAAAAGAGTGGGCTATTTGGCCAACTCAGGCTGATGAAAAAGACCTATATTCTCTGCTGAGAGCCACTAGGGATTATATAATGGGTCTTATTATAAAGTTAACACCTGTTTGGCTAGTAACAGATGATATGTCATACAGTGCCAGCAGTGGAGCCTAAAAATAATGTAGATAACTTGGGTGAAAGATTTTGTGATTGCGGACAAACAAATTGAAAGTCTTCAAAGTGTGTATAAACAGTACTACTTGTATTCTATCTCTAGAATTTCTTTTAACTTCTTATTTCAAACCCTGTCTTCTGTTCTTCTTCAATCTTAACCAGGATAACGGAGATGAGTTCTACTACACAGGGAGCGGAGGAAGAGACTTGTCAGGCAACAAGCGAACGGCCGAGCAGTCACATGACCAAAAACTTGCCAAGATGAATATGTAAGTCACATGACCCTTCTCTTTGTAAGTCACATGATCTTTGTAAGTTTTATTTATTTATTTATTTATTTCTAATCTTTTGACAGGGTAGCCCATTCACCAACAAGTAGTGGTCTTCCATGGGGCCCTGAATGAACATGAACATATTTACATCGTTTATAACGTTTATACAAAACAGTTTTAAAAAATAATACTCATTTGCAAAATAAACATATATCATTAACCTAGTAAACAGTAATGTGAATAAGTCATGTTAATATTACAGAACATGCACGTAATGTATGTTCGGCTGAGCCATTCACAAATTACAACTTTGTTTAAACAATGTCTTAATTGAATTGAGAGAGGAAGCCGTTCTCATCAAATTATCTAGCTTATTCCATTCAAATATGGAAGAAACAATTGGGCTACACTCATAACAATCAATGTGAAATCTAGGCACACATAAACATCCACTGTCTATTTGCCTTGTATGATGCTCATGTACATTATTTGGATTGATTAAGCCTACCTGAAGGTAAGAAGGTGCTAAGTTATGAACGCATTTATATATCATCATAACGCGACTTAACTCAAACCGCTTGTCTAGTGTCATCCATTTAAGACTTGTGAACAAATCAGCCGACGGTGTGTTATATGTCTTGTTCAATATTATTCTTGCGGCCCTCTTTTGAATTTTTTGCAGCTTAGTTGTATGAGAATGAAATCTGTTCAACCATACAACAGAGCAGTAATCTAATCGTGGCAACACTAGACTGTTATAAAGTAACTTTAAGGATTAAAGTCACATGACCCTTCTCTTTGTAAGTCACATGATCCTTCTCTTTGTAAGTCACGTGATCCTTCTCTTTGTTAGAGTGCATGAAGGGGAGGAGAAAAGAGGATATGATGTTAATATCTAGAAAGGACGTAGACATAGTATTCAGATTCTGTGATTAAAAATGTGTAATATCTGTTGATGTGCTCAACATTTTGTAAACTTTCTTCTTCTTCCTTTCGAGTACAGACCTCTTAACAGAGTATTATCGTACTATACTGGGGGTGTGTGAAGGTGGACCACTACACCGGGGTTTCCCCCTAATCTTATACGAATAGTGCAGTGGGTTCTTAACGTGCGAAGGTAGTGACTCTTCTCTACACAGGGCCTCCATGTAACGTCCTATCCGAGGGATGGAGTGTTTTCCACTTTAACATAACCTGCGTCTATGAACAAGGGAAGGGGCACGTTAACACACAATGCAGGCTTCAGTCATCCGCCTGGGTGGGAGTCGAACCCGGGATCGTTGGTTTGACAGGCAGATGCTTTACCAACTGAGCCAACTCGCCGCCCATGGGATGCTTTGGGATGGTGAAGTGTTTGAATTAGATGTTACCAGGTCCAGCGTGTTTTAGGAACATGCAGCTTAGCCTGTGTTGCATGTTGATCTACAAAGTTCTGTTTTTACTTAAAAACAACTATCAAGCTATTGTTCTCTTCCCTATCGTCATTTGTCTTTTCCTGTATTTGAAGAGTTTAATTCCAAAGGTAGCTAAATCCATTTTTGTAACTTAAGAGAAAAAAGGAAATGTTTACCGATTTTGTACAGGCATCTATAGAAAAGTGATATTAGAAGGTGCATTTTTCATAATTGCTCCTACAACTTAGGTAAATAATTTTGTTGAAATACAGGTACTTAATGCAAGGGTCACTCTGTGGCCTGGACCCACCCTCCTCAGGTCATCACCTTTCTTCACCTGAGCCAATTATTTGTAACCTCAGGGTTTCACCATCACTTCATGTGCTTTACAAAAAACAAAGGCAAAGCATCACTCTTATCAGCAAATGTGTTAGTCCAGGCTTCACCCTTTGAATTATTTGCATAGGTGATGCTTCACTTTTGTCAGTTTTACATAGGTGAGGCTTCACTTGTGTCAGTTTTCCATAGGTGAGGCTTCACTTTTGTAAGTTTTCGGCCGGTCTTAAGCTTCACCACTGTTTCACCATACTGGCCATTTGCATAGTTCAAGCTTCACCACTGTTTCACCTAAGCCTGAGTCATTACGGTTTTTGTGCTAAACGGTTAACCGTTAAAAGTATACGGGCGGTTTCGTTTAACCGTTTAATAATAATCTGAAAAAGTGAAAATACAGTATTTTTAATAGTGCTGTAGCTCGGAACCCTGCTGGTCTTCAGACTGTCGGGCTGAGCATTCCCAGCCCCGGACTATGGCACAAATTGGGTCATCCTGATAAACAGAGACCAGTAATAAACAACATAAAACATGTCTTATTATTCCTCATCTGAATTTGATATCATGATTAACCTTGCAAAGTTACTCTGTGAAGATAGCTGATCTGTGACGTGTTTATATATGCCTTTGCAATGCAATGTTTGCACATGGTCAGGGAGAGAGCTCCCTGCATGTATCATTGCCATATGAAATTATGTGGAAGTGTGTATCACACACACCCAAGACACACCCTGCAATGAGCTGATCCAAGTTAGTGACCAATCAGGAAGGTTCTCTAGCTATGTGGGTGGAGTTTGATACCAGCATAAATTACAGGTTGGTGACCGCGCGTGCTTTCACCGTACCCAGTTCAGTGGGAGGTCAAGAAGCCACGCCCACATGTGTGCATGTGACAAGCATGAGCTCTCCATCTGTGTGTATGTACAGTGTATTTGGGCGCCGGAGGTTTGTGTGTACATGTGTGTGTGACTGAGAGAGCATGCATATGGGCTAGCATGTCCCTGCATGTCCCTAGCATGGACGAGGCAGGGACATGAGTGAAGATCAAAGTAAGAAAGGGTGGCTGTGTTAATCGGCTGAATTGAAGAATGATCAAAAACTTAAATTACTCACAAATAATATCCAAGACTTTGTTGATTGATATTTCTAAAACTTCAATTATTATTGTTATCAATATTTTTGTATTTTATTTATATATGAACATTATTTTAGGGGGCGAGTCGGCAAGGGATGGATATTAATATTGAAAGAGAGAGAGAGAGACTCGGGGGAGAAGGGATGTGAGAGGAACTGACCATCGAATGTGTAAACATTTAGAAAGTTGTGAGCTGAGAGTGCAGTAATAAGAAAAGGTACATGAGCGATGAACACATTGCAGAGAGAAGGGAATAAAGAGGGTGAGAAAAGAGAGAAGGGGGCTGGTTGTTTTATTGTTTACAAATTCATTCATGGGGATAACTGCTGCCAGAAAGCTAGCGCGCAGCGGCCAGGGTGTAATATTACACTGCGGTTTCTTTGATTATCTTTATCATCGGCTATTAGCACATTCCAAAATGTATGCAAATAACGGTTAACCGGAGCGAGAAATGCTAAACGGTTTTGATGAATCATGCGAGTGCATGAGTGACCGGAATAAAAATTAAATAGTTGTTTTGAAACGCACGATTTCGACATGATTTCGACATATTTTCGACGCGACCGGTAGTGGCTTCGATGTCACATCACCTGAACAAACAAGGCGACCGATTGGATTCGATGTCACATCACCAGAAAAAACAAATTACTCGTCAAAGCTTCACACATTTCATCAATTTGTATAGTAAAGCTTCACCCAATGAAGAAAAACGAACGTTAGGACTTCACTACAACAACAAATAGGTCAGGGTCAGGCTTAGGCGTCGAGTCGACGTCGATATTTGGCGACCTCTGAGGAGGGTGGGTCCAGGCCACAGAGTGACCCTTGCATAAGTGAACAATGTTCCGATATCAATAACTCAATTTTTATCAAAAGTGGATTTAGCTCCTTTTGGAATTAAGCTCTTCATTTATAAACTATACTTTGAAGATGGTGTACTCTTTTTCAATGTCTATCTCTCGAAACTTTTCATTTGCAGGGCCCTTGCACGTAATTGCAACGCCCCCACTGACAAGGTCAAAGGAAACGAAGCCAAGGATTGGAAGGCCGGCAAGCCTGTAAGGGTTGTTCGGAATGCCAAAGGTCGCAAACACTCCAAGTATGCACCAGAAGATGGAAACAGATACGATGGTATTTACAAGGTAAGTGTAGTGTTCTGTGGTGCACTTTTAAGAATGCTTGTGTCTTTAAAACAAAATTATTACATTAAAGGTAAAGACCAGTATTGGAAACGCCCCAATTTTAAAAAATGAAATGGAAGCTCTTATTACCAATCATGTGAAAGAATATGTTTTGACTAATACATGATAACAATTTTGCTGGGAAACCGCCTACTATTCAATTTATTTGGAAAATTAGTTTATCTACATGTTCTGTGAGAGATAAATGCATGTGTGGCACACGTGTGCGTATAGTCCCATATACATCTTTCTGTGTACAGTGCTTGTAACTTTACGAAGACTGGGCCATATTTCTTATCATTTTGATGATTCCAGAACCTTGCAATACACACCAATACTTATTTGCTAGATGATCAACCTTTTCTGATCGATTCCACAATGTTTCTTTCACAACGCAATCGCATGACCATAACTGGTCTTTACCTGTAAAGGCATTGTTTAACAATGCCAAATCTGAGATGCATGGCCCTACGTGTTATCCGTTTCTGTGATATGGTGTAATATTGAAGCCCTAAAATAATTGCGCTTCAAAATGATCATGAAGTGCCTCAAAAAAGTTTAAAAAAAGTGACAGGTTTCACCATACTCTTTTCCCCCAATAGATTGTAGTGTTATAAAAGGCGTTGGGAAAACGGTTTTTGAAATTTCGAACTCCAGTCATAAATACCTTCTTTGATAATCAGATGGGTGATCGGCTTGTAAACGTCATGGGATTTCTGACTGACCTAAAGGTTTACAATTAAGATTGCAGCATGAGCTAAATCCAGGATTTTATTTCAGAATCCGAGACAACGATACCCAATCCCTTTAATATCTAAATAATAAGAAAGATGTCTCGCAATACAGCATAAGGGTTACTGATGGGAAATATGTCTTCTGTTTGTACAGATTGTAAAGTACTGGCCTGAGAAAGGAAAGAGTGGATTCCTGGTATGGAGGTACCTGATCAGAAGAGACGACCCCTCCCCAGCCCCCTGGAGCAAGGCTGGTAAGAAGAAGATCAAGGAACTGGGACTCGAGATCGAGGTGAGCATAGTACTATTTTACCCTTTGACCTTTTGAATAAGGAGACTGAGATGGGATCGACGTGTTGAAGGAAAAGGAATTTATCTCCAAATAGTCAAAACTGTTCTAATTGCGGGTGGGGGTTGGAGGGATCCCTTTTCAAGAAGTCCGATCGCACTTTAGGAAAAGCAGTTGTATGCAAGTGTATGCAAATTCTTGATGTTTGTCAGATGTTGGCATGACGATGGAGTACTACATGTAAGTGTCACTCAAAGGTTGCACACGACTTGGGTTAGAAGGCACTGAGGGATATGTCACATGGTAGATGTGGATTTGAGAGGGGAGGGGAGGGGGGGGGGGGTCGGAAAGGAATCCTTTGAAAGTTCAACTCCTAGTTTCATTAGATTCAAAGAAAACATGTCAGTGACTCAGAGAATGTCGGTCAATGTTTGACAGAATTAATCATTTAGTACATTAGAACCTTTGTACATGCTGCGCTCAAAGCACATATTCAGGGCAGGGATGCCACCTGAAAAGCCCAGACGATAAGATTGCCTTCAATTCATTCAGTGTAGCTCCATCTCCACTATATCTATTTCGCTGTCCTTTTCTTTTATTTTGCAGTACCCCGATGGTTACCTTGAGGTGATGGCAGCCAAGGAAGCAGCGAAGGAGAAGGAGAAGGAGAAGGAGAAGAGAGGGTTATCAGAAGATGACGAAGAGGAGGAGGAGGAGGGAAAGAAATCAAAGAAGGGCAAAGGAAAGAAGAGGCAAAGAGAAGGTATGATAGCTCAATTTAATCTCCATGAAAGTTAGTAGGGTATCGTACATTTTGCATTTAGTTGGGATATACAGTAGGAGGTTTTAATCTTAGTAAAGGTTTTGCAGAGTTTCGCATTTCAGGAAACATGATTCATGTAATCTTCATTTATAGTGGTAGGGGATTAAGCATTTCAAATGGAACGGTACCTGAATTTACATTTAAACTGAGTTTAGAAAATGAAAATATGTTTTAAAATAGGGATGCTCTGAAGAGAAAATGATATTTTAGCTTCTGCAATGTATGTGACATATGCACTGAGAAGACCTAAGTGATGGTGAGTAGCAGAGTGAACATAGTTTTATCATTAAACAAGAGATTAAAAAAAAAGCAATCATTAAGTGGTACAAAATAGAGGTTTTCAAGGATTTCTTGAACCCATTCTTGCGATTTCCTCAAGTTCATCAGGGAAGCTAATCCCCCATTTTCTTTCGAGCCTTACATGCCTTTACGCTTTCTTTCAGAAGAACCCCAAAAGCCAACACCGAAGAAGCCCAAGTTTGAGCTGAGCAAAGAGACACGGAAGATGATTGATGAAGACGAACAGAACAAGTCTCAGTGGAAGTCCATCATCGAAGAGTGTAACAGTGGAAAGGTAATGGGTTTGTTTCTATCGGTAGCATTCATCTCTATATCGCCTCCCGGTACAAAGGTCTCTTGCAAATGAAAATATTGGTGTGACCAAAATGTTTGCACTTTCTACCTTTGACACAGCACAACTGTTTGATGTGATCAATTTGAAATAAGTTGGTATTTGTTTAAGTCCATGGTATGGTCTTAATTCTAATGTGTACCTGCATCTCAATGTGAAATAGACTTACTACTCCTTCGATACAGTCCAGTAAAGGGCATCTGATCAAAGTGCTTGTCAGTAGATTTTTACCCCATTTATTGGATTCTATTACAATTCCACATTTTCATTCCACCGAGGAGCATACTAGCCAGTCACCATTTTACAACATAATCTGGAGTTATATAGTGCTTAATACAGAATACCGTCTCTAAACCCTTTACAGATATTATTACTCTGGTCATTGGATTTGTTCATGCACAATATGCACCATCTCCACTCCCTGGGGAATATTCCCACTATATGGTCACTGTGAGGGCTTAGGCAATAACTAACGCAAATGCTTTCGTCATCCTATTGGGTCCCCATTTCTCTCTTGGGTATTGAGTGGCAAATGTAGATTAATGCCTTGCCAAAGTACACTAGTGCTGTGTGGGGGATCTAACCACGACGTTTGAATTTCAAGTCAAGTGCTTAAACCACTCCACTACATGAGTACTTGGTATTAATCAAACCACAATGTTTGCTACCGGTATTTCACAAATGTGCAAATAAGAGAATTTCCTTGTTTTATTCTTCAGAAATTCATCACGGCTGTGGAGGATGAGTTTACATGTATCTGTTGTCAAGAAGTCGTCTATCAGCCCATCTCTACACCATGCTCACACAACCTCTGCAAGGTAAGACAACCACCCCTCTTGTTGTAAAGTGGAAGAGTCCTGTTGTACACAGAAGTAACGCATTTGGATGATTCCATTGCACAAAAAGGAGTGCTAATATTCTTCTGTTTTGCGGTTGAGTACCGTATTTGCCGGCGATAAGGCCGCAGCGCCGCATAGGCTGCACCCCAACTTTGACATTTCAAAGAGGAAAAATCGTAATTTTATCGTAAAACACTATTTTTTTTTTACAAACTGATACCAAATTCATTAATATTCTTATAATTTACTGGAAGTTTAGCTAAAAAAGTGATCGCAGGCAGATTTGATGTCCGATATATACCCCTACCACAATGTACGGTGTAATGCGAAAGTGCATGAAATGGAAAACAAAATCGCGACTTCGGATGGATGCTTCGCGGCAGCTCCGTTAAACGGTCCCTTCCTTTACTTTTGCAATGCATTGGCACGAACTTAGATCAAGATCTATTGGCAAATGTTGTTTTAGGAAGTTTATTTGCATCTTCATGTCAACAATGCAAGATAAAATTGTTGGTAAGATGTGTGGAAATGTCCTGTGGTATAGTTATTTTACTGTTCATAGTCCCATATGTGCAAATTCGTGCTGGTTTTGACTTTCATTTATTTTTTATGCCTCCGCCACCGAAGGTGGTGCCGGAGGCATCATGTTTTCGGGTTGTCCGTCCGTACGTCCGTCCGTCCGTACGTCCGTCCGTACGTCCGTCCGTCCGTACGTCCCGTTCTCGTGATCGCGTTATCTGAAGAACCGATTGATGGATTCCTGCCAAACTTTGGTCATGTATGTATCTTGCAGAGCCGATGAACTGATTAGATTTTGGGGTCACGAGTTCAAAGGTCAAAGGTCACAGGGCTCATTATGTATGCAAAAACAGCTCGTGATCGCGTTATCTGAAGAACCGATTGATGGATTCCTGCCAAACTTTGGTCATGTATGTATCTTGCAGAGCTGATGAACTGATTAGATTTTGGGGTCACGAGTTTAAAGGTCAAAGGTCACAGGGCTCATTATGTATGCAAAAACAGCTCGTGATCGCGTTATCTGAAGAACCGATTGATGGATTCCTGCCAAAATTAGGTCATGTATGTTACTTGCAGAGCCGATGAACTGATTAGATTTTGGGGTCATAAGGTCAAGGTCAAAGGTCATGCGGCTCATTATGTATGCAAAAATAGCTCGTGAACGCATTCTCATTAGAACTGACAAATGGATTACTATTTAACTCGGGACATCTTGTAGAGCCAATGAACTGAGTAGATGTTAGGGTCATGAGGTCAAAGATCAAAGGGTCATATATGTATATGAGAAATTGCTTGTAATCACGATATTCTGAGAAACTGTTAATGGATTACAATTGAACTTGAATTTGAAAAATTTCTTCTGTTTTTGTTTGTAAAATTGCTCTATGACGGAGGCATCATTTCGACTGCGCGCAGTTGAAGTTCCATCTAGTCTCTTCCAAAAATACTGCGACCTTTACGCCGGCAAATACGGTATGATGTAAAGTTATCATCACATGAAATAGAAGGAGATCCCACTTCAAAATGGTAAAGATCTTCGAGTTGGACTAATGTAAGCTCTGTTTCTTGTTTATATAACACCAAGGAGAGACTCGTGTCCCTTTTTTTTTTTGGGGGGGGGGTCTGGTTTATCCACTGAAACCTTAATCCTCCATTGAATGTTAAGTAAACTATTTAGATCTGCTCGTTTGGCTGAGAAAGCCGAGTGGTAACATAGGTACCAACACATTAAAATCAAGAGAGATATAAGTACATGAATAACCTTAATCACAAATATCTGGAAGAGATAAGGCAGGCATCTTGCAATCAAGTAACGTTAATTCAAAATATGTATATTTCTGTTGTCTTTAATCCTCTCTTCATCAGAGTTGCATCCAGCGTTCCTTCAAGGCAGAGATCTTTTCCTGCCCGCATTGCCGCTACGACCTGGGGAAAGGATACAGCTTGAGCTACAACAAGAACCTGCAGGCCATCCTCCTTGATGTGTTCCCTGGTTATGATGCTGGTCGCTAGGCAACCGTCTCTTCCATCTAATACATCTCATACTCTTTCCTTGATCAAAATAATCAGACAATGACACATTCAATAAACTGAAATGTGACAGCGCAACAAACTTGACTTTTGAGAATTTCCGTGTTTTCATCCATGTTTCACAGTGGTAAAGTTTCAAAAAAGTTTGGCTAGGAATGTGATGTTTGCTTGTAAACAATGCTTTCAACAACATAAAATGTTATAATTGTGATAGCCATGATGTCAATATACATACATGAAATCTGCAGGTATAGTTAAAGATAACCGCTTTCAAATTAATCAAGGGAAGAGTTTTAGATTGTGATGGTGCTGTTTATCTTGAATTCTATTTACCTCGTTGCATAAAAAAAATCGTCAGTCAAAATGGACAAAGCTTTTTTAGAGAGGCGCTCTGCACAGCGGAACTAATACAAATGCTTCATCAAGAGTTTGTAAACATTTGTGAATCATATCTTCATCAGAGTTATCATCGTTATACTTAGTATTCGAACAAAATGGCATTTACATGCTAAAAAGTTTTGCCTGCATAAAAAGAATATATATATATATATATTTATGTGATTTGGATTCCCTCATGGAGATTTTATTCAGTCTTAACTCATAATGGCTCAATGTTGACTTCATAGTCAGTGTGGAAAAAATGCTAATTGGCTTGAAAGCATTTGTAGAAGGAATGTGCTCGTCCTTCATTTCATGGCATGATCGTAACTTTATAAAAGTATCGCAGCTGCCTTAGCATCAACCGTTGTATATGAAACTCACCGTTTTCATCATTTCTGCTCAGAAAACCATTCATAGAATTTGTGACGCTCGTCCTCGTCACCTCCCGAAAGCAGTCGTGCTCCGGGCGTCTCTGTCGCGTCATATTTTCTTCCACTTATGCCTCGTCTTCCATGTCTAGCTTGCGATAAACATTTAATTTACCATCGGTCACACTTGTTTGGCTCAGTGTTGTATTGGATGTTCACTCGCCTATTAAGATTTAGAGGTGTGTTAACTCTGGGATAGGTGATAGGAGTTTGTGGCTCTTGTCAGGAAAGGAGCCATTTTTTTTCATTTGTCTCGTCTTCCCTTTGAATATCTGTGTTCGTTTTATAACTTTATTTTCTGTTCATTCACCTCTGTAAATGTCAAACTTTGTTCTTGTAAATAACATTGCTGCATCAGTACCTCCCTGTCGCGTAGCTCAAATTTCCAACTGCCGCGTTTGTGTTAAGTGTAGGGTGTGATTGGAGAAGGAATAATTTCATCCACAAATTTGGTGGTTTTATAATGTATTCACTTCACCGAATACCACATTTTAACCATTTCAGAGTACTTTGATCTGAGATTGATTTGGTTTTCACATTCCCATCATTGTTTGTACCTTAACATTCTGAGACATACTTTGGCTGGGTTTGGGCAAAGAAATATTGAAATGTACAACAATATTTTCACGTATAAGTGTATTTTGAAGATAATTTCAGACAACTTGCAAGTGATACAAACATGCGTTAGATCTTAACAATACAAGATCTCAATTTGTCCACCCCAATATTTAGAGGGAAGGTCCCTTTTTCTTAAGTGGGGTCATGCACTTTATTTATTTCTTGAATATTTCTCCTCAATTTTGCCAAAACGGGTGCATTGAATCAAATGTACTTACATTAATGTTTAAATATATTATGTACCTTTTTTGAAATGTTAGTGTTTTTATCTGTAAATAGTAGTGCAAAGTACCACGTACTGGGGAAGCTGATATGGTTCTTGTTCAAAATTTGAAAGGTAATTGATCTAATTGGTAGCTTGATGCTTCATGCTTCTAAAAAATATAATTAAACTTTGAATCAAATACAATCACAATGTGACTCTGAATGTACATGTAGCACATATGAGAAAGGAATGTCTTTGCTTTTATCCTCTTTGAATGGACATTTGTAGGCAAACAAGCAATGAATATTCCCTCAGATGAACAGTGTGCAGTTTTGAGCCTGCTGAAGTGCTATTATCCTCCATGAATCGACATCAAGTACGAAATTGGACAATATAAATTTTCCCTCTCGGTTAGATACCGGTAGTACTTCATTTTTTGCAAGCAGCTAAACAAAGACGCTATTGGAAAAAGATTTAAAAATTGTCATGTATCATATAAAACCTGTGCGCAGTGTGAATACAAATCATTTGTACATCATTAAAAACATTTTACCTCCTTTAGATAAAATAGCTAGAATTGAGGTTAAAATCACAGACAGTGATCGAGTGCTGCTGCTACATGCATACACTGAAACTGCCTAGATCGATAGCTAGGTTAAACTTGTACATTAATATCTATAGTATCATGCAGTTGTATACAAAGGCGTCAAGAACTTCTGCTGTATCTGTTCATTTGGGCCATACCTTGCTTGTATAACCATTAATCTATGTGTAATTACTATATTGAGAATCAAAAGGTTAAACTGAAATGAATGTATCCAAAATTTCATTTTACACCATAGTTTATGTACTTGTATCTGCAACCGTGCATTTTCAACCTTTGCTTTCTACCTCAAATTATGTAAAAATTCTCAATATGAAAAGGACAGATGAGATCTACGGTATATGAGATGCTTTTTTATCATCGTGGGCTTCTGTTTTAAAAGAATTACGTCTAAATGCAAGGCAGAAATTTAACGCAACTTTAACCTGTCTGGATATTTTTGCATTGCACTTAACCAAACTTTTATGGAAGAGGCCCTATAGCTTTGGGGTTCTTGGCATGTGTGTAGCATTTAAAAAAAAAGAAATTTCTACAACCAAGGTGCAATTGTGCAGCACTTATTCTAATTCTTTTCTGTTCACCTCTATTTTAACACGGTCTTAAACGCACAAGACAACATTCTCTTTTCAAATTTAAGGAAACTGCGGGAGGGAGGCCGAAAGAAAATTGGCAAGGAGAATGTTTCTGTCATTAGAAAGGGTAACATTGTGGTCGGGTGTACAGGTTGAAGGTGTTTTATACAAGAAGGTGCTAATTTGGTGTTACTGCACAGTGTAGATATGTGGAGGGAGGGTGTACAATAAGTGTTTGGTGTTGAAATGTGTTTGACACAGGAAAGTGCCTTGGGAAGAGTCTTATCAAGTTTCCCGCTTTAAAGTTGCAGTTGATTTTTAGATGTGAATGAATTTTGGAGATAAAAGAAATATTTTGTATACGATAGAGGTACGGAGAGTTGAAGTATATGACAGAAGAATTATTCCAATTTTATTGTGTTCCATTTCATGTTTTTCTTATTCCTCACCTCAATGTAATGTATGTTACGATTGATATGCAATTCGTAATTGTTCTATATTCATGTACGGTACTAAAGTAGAAGTTGTAAATAGATGTGCTATGCTTTGTGATTTTTAACGATGGAATAGTACTATAAGTGTTAGTGTAGACGAAAATCGACTTTCATCCGCAGTGATTTTTTTCTGATTGGCTTTTAAAAAAATTGTAAGATTTGAATTTCCTTATGCTGACAGACAGATTTTTGTACGTTAATGCCCTTCTGGCTCCAAACACGAGGTATTAAAATCAACCTTTGAACCCTAGAAGGATGTTAACGCTGTGAAATGAAGTTGATGTACGTCAATTTACATCCGCCTTGTGAAGTCATCTCGCCCATCCTAATGTAATATTTATGCCTTTTTACCTGTTAGAGCACAAAAAACATTGTTTAATTGATTACTTCATGTGCAAAAAAAGTTTGAAAAATGAAAATTCATTGAATGTATTTAAAGTTTCAAATTTGATGTTTTTTAAAAAAGAGGATGAATGTAGTTCACGTAAAATGGTCAAATTCTTCAATTGTTTTTTTTTAAATAATTTTAAATCCATGTAGTATAGTAATGATGATTGATTCAGTGTTTGAAACCCAACAATAAATTTCATTAAAGTCACATTTATGATCTCTTTCTTGTTTAATTCTTCCTGTCCTGTATTCAATACAATTATTGTATAATAAAAATAATCTCTTAAGTCCACTCCAAATTTTACTAAGTTAAACCGAAAATGGAAATTCTTTTTGCCCAATTTATCGTGGGCCCGGCAGCCACTGAGCAGCGCCAGATCGACATTGCTCTACCCCTTATTGTTGAACACCAAACAAGGTAGCAGCAAATCCTGTCTTTTAATGTCTTTTGGTATGACGCGGCGGGGTTCGAACCCACGATCTCCCGGTTGTGAGGCGGACGCTCTACTGACTGAGCCAACACACCGGTATATTGATATTTTTTACTTGAAATTTAAGAAAGAAAACTAAATCAGCGGTAGATTCTTGCCATTCATTATTATTAACTAAAGAAATCAGTTAAGTTGTGGAGGCTCTACAACAAATGCTGTGGTGACGATTGCTCATAAGTCAACATGCTACAAATTGGACTGCTAACAATAAAACCTGAACACTAATCCAGTATGAATAAAGCAATCCATCTAAATGATTTAGTTTGAATAAAAGCAGAAAAATAAGAGAACAGAATAATAAAGTTATGAGTTTTTGAAATGTGAGATCACTAAAGCTATACAAACCTCAAATCAGCAATTTGGTTACTGGATTGTGAAGTAGTCGCGGATAACTCTTCAGTTTGTCATGTACAAAAATACCATAATTTTTGTTTTCGCCTTCTCCCTTGGGGGTACTACTTGACATAGCATATTTTCAAAGCTTCTTTTTAGTAATTTTGCGTGTAAACACAAATGGAAAAGTTGTCCAGTACTTTATCACAGTGACAGTACCAATTGGGCCAAACAACTTTCAAAGACTCATAACTGTATTTTTTGACCGATTTGATTCAAACTTTATCCTGTCTGCTTTCTTTTAGAGTAGTTCGCTATTAGGGTTGGATTCCTCTTTAACAAAATGAAGTTGAGATAAACTGTCACCAGAGTTAATATCACGTCATCTGGAATTCTGCTTGTGAATAGTCCTTGAACAATGATATTTGTAAAATATCTCTCTAAAATGACTAACCTTTTTTACTTGTCATGGCTTGTTAGTAATCAATTAAAGTTGAATTCTGACAAAACAGTGTTTTTCAGTGCTGCATCACCTAATCATTCGAATCGGCTCAATGACCTCTGATTTTCTATTGATGATCACTGAAAACATCACCATTTCCTACAGTCAGGAACCTGGGTGTAGTCCCATATACATCTTTCGGTGTAGTGCTCAATAGGGAAGTGAGAATGTCTGACCATGTCCCCTCCTTGTGTTGTTCCCTCAACTGGCAAATTTCCAATCTAAATCACACCAGAGGGTACTTGAATCAAGATACAGTCAAACCTGTCTGTAGCGACCGCCCAAGGGAAACACAAAAAGTGGTCTTTGTAGACAGGTGGTCTTTGTAGACAGGTTCATTTAGTTCATGATTCAATGAGAAACCATTTTCAAGGGAAACACAAAAAGTGGTCTTTGTAGGCAGGTGGTCTTTGAAGACAGGTTCCTTTAGTACATGTTTCGACGAGAAACCATTTTCAAGGGAAACAAAAAATGTGGTCTTTGAAGACAGGTTCTTTTAGTACATGTTTCAATGATAAACCATTTTCAAGGGAAACAAAAATTGTGGTCTTTGTAGACAGGTGGTCTTTTAATTGTGGTCGTGTTCTACTACAACATTTCTATTAGTCTTTTGTGTTTTAAACCAATTATCCGGGACAGAAAGCAGTATAAATATAAAACAAATATTTAAATGCGAATAATTAGAAAAGTAGTTTTCGAGTCGCTCGCGCGCTAACGCCCTTCTGCCACCCGGCCGACAAAGTGTCAAAACCGAAGTGGTCCTATGATGCCCCATTGTTAAACAAACTACACTCACTTCCAGTTACTGAGAGAATAACCCCATACTCATCCAAACTTTCCAATCTTTGTCAACCATACACTTCCTCTTAACATCTCCTCACTCTTTCACTCAGCAACTGAGAGAACATCACATTCTCATCGATCTACATCAGCTCCTTCTCGTTCTTGTTCTCAAATCCACTAAACAGACCAGTTTCAATTCCTTTCAATCCGTTATCCCACGCCTATGGAACAAATCCCTGCATTTCTGAGCAAAAGAAGTGTTAAAAAATCATTCAAAAACAAACCTCTACAATTCTTAATTTGTCCTTAGACTAAGGGTCCTTCCGGGCCTTGTATCCTCTATAAATCCCATTATTATTAACATTATTAAAAGGGACTCATCATTAAACAAATCGCACACAGACAAATTAACCTCCATTTTTTTTCTTAATGTTTGCATTTATTCCTTTCTGGAAAAAAAAGTTTGGGATTTTCTGTACAAGCAAGTTGAGATAAATTGATACAAAAGTCATCTATTTACTTTAGTTTACAAACTTACAATAAAAAACATACCATCATATACATGTATGCATATATATTTCTCAATTGTATGTACACAAATAATCACCATGGCTATAGTGCTATCTACATTGTCAGTATATCGGCAGTATATTAGTAAACCCTCAGAATTCTATCCCAGTCGCACAATCACAGCTTAAAAAACATAAATAATCCATCGAAATCACAATAAATGTACTAACTATAATAGTTGTATTAAAAAAAAATTAAAAAATTCTTTTTTGCATACAAGCCCCTAAAAAAAAATCTATTACAAAAAATATATGTCCACTTCATAATGTATCTCTAACTTCCCTTTCATGGCTAGAAATTGGTCACATTCCTACAGGTAAGGTACATGTATCTATTCTAAACAATTTAATTCCTATATTGCTCCTCGAGCAACTGTCATAATAGTGATACATAATGCATAATTATATAGAACTATAACCTAAAAAAAGTATTATATCAAACACAACTTCTTCGGCTAAGAAACAAGGCACTATATAATTTTGTCAATTCACAAAAGAAATGCTATGCATAAGGGAGCATGGCTGGTAGGATTAAAGATAAAGACGCAATAAAATGCACCAATTATATAAAGAGGTATATGTATCTATCTGATTTTACTTCACATGTATATCCTAGAATCGAAAGTAAAATAGAAGACTATATTTCTGAACTAAACCAACTAAAAGAATGGCTCATATTCATAGAGATGGACTACTCTTGAGTTAAACCTGGTACCCGTTTAACAAACCCTTTTTTTCAATGACAAATGATAAAAATCAGTAACAAATCTGCTGATAACCAATCAGAAGCAAGGATTTCACTAGCTTATAATAAACAAAAACTGTCATTTGTCACTGATGAAAATGTATTAATCTTCTGAAGAGTAGCACAATATACATGAGGTATTATATGAGGTGTTTGCTATATCTAGTAAAAATGGAATCTATTCATAGTTTGGGAGCAACTTTAGAATACCCAACCACAACAATTGACCAGGGACCGATTTCACAAAGCCTTTTTTCAATGACAAATGACAAAAATCAGTGACAAATCTGACGATAACCAATCAGAAGCAAGGATTTCAGTAGCTTATAACAAAAACTGTCATTTGTCACTGATGACAAGTTTTGTGAAACGTTTCCCAGGTTCAAATGTCTCTCTATTGGTACCACAATATTTTCATCTTAATATAGGGTAGCAAAATGTACATGAAGTATTATATGAGGTGTTTGCTATATCTAGCAAAAATGGAATCTATTCGTAGTTTGGGAGCAACTCTAGAATCCCCAACCACAACAATTGACCAGGGAACCGTTTCACAAAGCCTTTTTTCAATGACAAATGACAAAAATCAGTGACAAATCTGCTGATAGCCAATCAGAAGCAAGGATTGCAGTAGCTTATAACAGAAACTGTCATTTGTCACTGATGACAAGTTTTGTGAAATGCCCCCCAGATGTTCGTAGGTTAGCCAACGCTCCACCAATGAAGCTAAATCTAAAGACTCAAGTTTCTTAGGTAATACTAACCCTACGTGTCGGACGTTCATGTACATAAACCCTATTGGTGGGGTATTCTGAAGTTAGGCCGTGTTTTATTTGCTTGCAAAGTCACACACCACTTGTTCTAGGCAATGATCTTATTAAAGATGAAACATAAGAATAATTAAACACTTGAACAACTGCTATGTTTGGAGACAGACAAGCATTAAGCCTGTATTTTGAATGTGATGCTGTGAACACAATTGGCTGATTTAGTTCAACTAACAGAAATGTCAGGTTCTCCATGTCACCATCGAATGCAAACCCATCATCAAGAGACGGAAAACAAAATATAGCAAAATACATATGTGTTGAGTTGTACAAGGACCTCAGCTGGAACCATCACATCAAACACAGTCGTAAAAAGGCAAATTCCACTTCTGCCTCCTACAGAGGAACATCAGAGAATAACCCTGAAAGAAATTGGCTCCAACGCTCTCATACAGTCAGTGATGGGAATGTGAGACCCTCACAAACAAGCCTAAATTAAAAAGCTTCAAGTGGTTGAACAGTATAACGGACTTCAGCTTTATATGCAATGACCACCGCAGGACAAGCAGTGTAGAAGACATGATGAACCAGCTCAAGTGGCCAGCTTTAACAATACATTTTCTAACTATTTTTTTAGCTTACATGAGATCAGATGGTATAAGGAGTTAAAATGAGCTGCACATTAAATATTCCAGTAATAATTTTTGTTACCCACCAAAATCAACCAAGCGACAGGATATGGTATCACATAGAGATAGTAATTCTAATTTGCAAAAGCATCTCAATGCTTAAAGAGGAGATGTAAAATAACACAAATAAGAAAGGAAAAACATGAAAGTCAATTGAAAAGGACCTACAAGGAAACCTACAACCGAAAGGTACATGCACAATGCTACAAAAACATGTGTTTTCTTTATAAATAATGACATTCTTACACAATAATTGTGTGTGTTTACAAAAATGTCTGTTTTCTTAAATAATGACACTTTTACATTATAATTGCACGAAGCAAAGGTGCAACAATATTAACTTGAATGCAATTAAATGAAAGCCTTAATGCCCATAATGCATACTTTAATTACCTTTGTATTAGTGTCTACATGTTTAAAACCAGTGCCTTATGATTTTTTTTAATAGTTCATTTTATGCTTAATACCAAGAAAGTTAAATTTACCTTTTTTTTTTAAAGAAGAAGAAAAAACAAAACGTCTTTGAGCATTGGACTTATGAACAGGGAGAAAAGAAATGAACTAATATACAAATGTAAAATAATACACATTTAAAAAATATTAAAGATCTCAGTATAAAAAACAGGAAATCGTTAACAGTTAATTGGATGATAAATATCGATATTTCCTATATTAAATGCATATTTGGTTTTTTTTAATTCATGTCAGATTTTGTAATTTCATCATGATTTAATAATTGCATGACCATTAAAAAGTCCTCACATCCTATATAATCACCTTTTTCCTACAAACAGCAGCCACGACAATTTCTTCAGAAATGCAATGTCATTGCCAGTACTACATGATGTTTTTAAATAACAAAATATGATCACTTCAAATTTAGAATATGATCACTTCAAATTTAGAATATGATTCAATAATTCTGCTTGAAGAAGACTAGATCCATTCTGACACATTTCTGTACCCGTTCCACATCTTTCACATGATTTCGCTACAAATAATGCAAGTACTCTCTCATTTGCAGCAATCCTTTACAAAAAAGAAGAGTCCTGTTGATATGTGCAGCTTACATATTATTTGAATACCTATTTCTGGAGAGAAAAAAGAATTCCTCGGAGAGAAAAAAGAATTCATCATGTAGGTACATCATCGTGCTGATTAGTTCATATGGCACCAAATTTCTAATCCCGTTTGGAAATTATATATCACAACTGCATATTCCGAGAGTTTCATGGTCGCAGCTACCATTGTATGGCCGTAGGCGCTATTTGAAATTTATCGGGAGCACCAATAAATTTGATATTTTAATTTTTCGAAATCCTAAGCATTTTAGAGCCAAATTTTTTCAAAGTTTCTTATTCTAACACCAAGTTTCACAATGGTAATGCACATTTTAAATTTCATAATTCAATCCTGTTCAAATATTACCAAAACGTTGTATTACCTTTAAAATAGCAAATTATTATTGGGTGATTGGAACTGGGTTAAATTGTCAGAGACTTTTCAATTCAATTTTTTACAGAAATTCAACATGTGAAATCTAACATCAGATCACCATTTTGAGGGTAAAGGTGCTTCATATACAAAACAGATGAACAAGTGTAATACAGTTGAGATCCAAACATAAACAGATTCCCTGAAACTACGAGAATATAAACTACAATGACACCAATACTCCTATACAAGTAACATACACTGTTTCATAGTCCAATATGGAGGTAATAATGTTTGAATAAGCAAATGGCGTAGCATGGGTCCAGGCATTGGCATAATGGTGGGGGACAGATGGTGGGGGGTGGGATGCTGGGAGGGGGAGGGGAGGGGGAAGGGGAGGGGGAGGGGGATATTAAGAGGATGACGGGGGAAGAAGACAAGGGCATAGTGTGGAAGGGTGTGTTATCCCCATTTCCTCATTGAATTTTCCCCTCTTCCTTTCTTTCACCCCAACCCTATGCCTCCCTGGAGCTACGCCACTGCTAGTATAAAGCGATGTCTCACGATGTCTCACTGGAAAGCATCATCCTCAACATCATGAGAGAAGTGGTAAAAAATTAATGCCACAGAAATATTTCCACAGGAGACACAGATAGTATAGGAATCTCAAAACCCTGTGGAAGCAGCATCATCCAATTCCTCTACATGCATATCTCCACACCAAACTCTATGCTAAACTGGACAAAACAGGCGCGCAGAAACATGTAGGTGATTTAAATCACACGCAACACACAGGGGAAAGACTAATACTCGGTGCTACGGCAGCCAACCCTCAGGCAGACACCTACCGAGGTCAGCTCGCCAGGTAACTCTTGAGGTCGTTCTCGATCACGGCAAGGCTAAAGGTCACGAAATCTACTGGAGTTCTCGCGGTAGTCCGATGGAATGGTGAACTGGGCGGGGTTGATGTTGTCCCTGAATTGAAACGCTTGGAAGGTTACACGGGCAGTGATCGTTGGCAGGACGGGAACATCTGAGGTTACACCAGAACAGGAAAACATACTCAAGGAATGTACTTTCATCAACAATATTTGTATAGACTACAATTAGACTGACAATTACTTGGGAAAGACTACTTGAAGAAATTTCTAAAGCCGTTAGCCATCTGGTTGCTAACTAACAAGCATTCATGCTTTCTTAGCAGTCGGGTAAAATAATCATTACCACTAAACTAAAAAAATAAATTTAAAAAATGTACAAGCCAAGAAGCCTGTTCAATGTACCGAACCGGGCTGGCCAGAAAATACACACAAAACGGTCAATGATTTTATGTTGACAGCCTGTCTGGAATCTCCACAAAATTCAAAAAATTGAACAGCATAGGTTTTATTTTCCTTCTTTCTTTTGCTTTCATTTAATTACGTTTAATGTGATTTGAATTTGGCGTAAATATTCATAAACGAATGATACACGCCAATAAAACTAAAAAAACAAAAAACATAAGCAATAAGCTAATTTCTTCGGCAGGTTAAAGTACTTTTCCTCATTTCAGGACCAGACTTTAATCTGCCTGTCTCCTACCATCAACAAGCATCCTTTCTAAAGCCATCTTAATCTCTACTTGTCCATCATTTTAATACTAGGAATGCCCAAAATAATCATCCACCATTTAATTGTATCTCCATAACTCAATCCTCTATCTTCTATAACTGCTCAGTTTTATGGAATTACCTTCCTATATCAATTAAGAATAGTAAGACAATCAATCAAAATGTAATATTTAAGCTACTGCTTTGATAAGTTCTAATAACTTATAATGTCAAAGTTTATGCAATGTTTCCTCCTCCTTTTCTCTATTTTCTTTTTTTTTGGTAATCTTAATTTTATGGAAATTATATTATTGTTAAGTAAGTCACTGTTATTTTGTATATTTTGTGAGGAACATTTTTAACAAGCCATTCATGTGCTTCTCATGATCCTCCCACTTCAGATATCTTATTATTCATGTTTGTATTTTGAAGATTATATAATATTGTTTTTATTTTGACATTAAGATAAATAAATGGAACATACTGCATGCCATTTTATCTGTTGGTTTTCTCTCTGTAAAGTGATCTAACATTTATTCTGGCAACATATGTGATTGGGTGTTTGGTTTATACATTTAATGTTAGATATAAGGTTGAAGTTAGAACATCAATCAGTGTTGGAAATTGATCACAGAACAAATGTACAATTCTGTACATTCCAAATGAAATAAATAGGTACCTCGTAGAAGGAAACATCCTTGACTGCTTGATTTCTGTAATAGCATTTAGGATTTAGCCAGAGCACAATCCGATTTCTTTACATTCCAATTGAAATAAATAGGTACCTTGTAGAAAGAAAATCCTTTCAATTTTTTTTGTCCTCCTTTTTTAAAACCAATGTGTGTTAGCCCCTCTGCACTAGTTTGGCCAGGAGGGATAGACCTCCCTGCATGGTCACTGACAGGTGGTTATCTCATCAAACAAGCTCTCATTTAACATTAGAAAAAGGGGACCATAAGGGACCAACGGTCACCGATTAGGCATTGTTTGCTATATAGAGAGCGCAAGTAGCTATAATTAGTGCAGTGGGGCTTTAAAGACATGTATCAATCAGATATGATTATTCAAGTCTGGAGACTGACCTTTAACCTCATCATTTGAAAGACATGATTCATTTTCGAGCCCGGGTCAATTTGTAGGCGTAGACAGAGCTGACCATGGAAATGAACGTACCACTTGACCAACTCACAATTCCAATAGATTACTCACCTATTTTAATTGGAAAACCTGGTGGAAGTTTCATCTGGACGAAGTCTCTTAACTTGTTGAAGTGCTTCATGGAGGTCAGCACTTCAAGCATGTTCAGTAAGTCTGTCACCTCCATAGGGAAGTCTTCGCTCTGTCACAACAAAGATCAAACCATCAAATCAAACATCAACATATGAATACCACAAGAGTTCCATGACACATCCAAATACCTGGGGGGTGTTTCATAAAACTGTTTGTAAAGTTATGCATGACTTTAGGAACGACTTGAATATGAAGTGCAAGATAGGATGCCCATTTTTTTATCTGATATTTCCAATAACCTAAATTAAACTATGGCAAAAAATATGCATTGCATTAAAAATGTTTGTTATTAATAAGAATTTTAATCTACATCTGCACAGTTCAATTTTAGTTGATGCATTTAATACTGATTGAGCATCCCATTTGGCTTTTCATGTACAAGTCTTTCGTAAAGTCATGCGTAACTTTACGAACAGCTTTATGAAACACCCCCCTGTATTGTTAACCAGAGTGATAGCTTTCGGTCTACCAGTGCTTGTTTGGAGAATGTGTCTTGACCTACACATTAAACTTCATCATCATTACACGTATTACGATGATAATCAATGCATGAGTTAAAATGTATTTTCTAACTCATGCATTGACTAAATTTTGACTTACCATGGCAACTGTTGCTTTGAACATCTTTCTCATCTCTTTGCTGATCTGAGGTCTCCCAAGTAGGGTTAAGGCTCTACAATAAGAAGAAAATCAAAGTTCACCGTTACAATTTGTGATTGAAAAGCGTGCCTGTACATGTGTACGAAAACTGGCTGGAATGCTCTCCAATGGAGCAGCTATCAAGCATAGGACATTAAGAATAGCAACTACATTTAACGATCAGGATGAAATAATTTGAGAAGTCCTAAACAAATGTAACAATTGTAACTATTGTTATTATCACTACTATTATCCCTTAAATCATACAATATATCTCACCTTCCTCTATCACTCTCTCCACCAGTGTACTCCTCCCATGTCACCATCATCATCCTCATCATCACCACCACCACACTATCATTACAATCATCAAAATCATCACCATCATCACACTATCATTATAATCATCAAAATCATCACCATCATCACCATCATCAACACAATCATCATTATCAATTTATCATATCATCCTCATCATCTTTACTTCTCCAATCTTACCTTCCTCTCTCAGCACCGATGTACTCCTCCCATGTCATCATCATCCTCATCATCACCATCCTCCTCCTCCTCCTCATCATCATCATCATCATCATCATCATCATCATCATCATCAACACAATCATCATCATCATCATCCTCATTATCATAACTATCATGGCTCTTCTTATCATTAATTATAGAATCTCTTTTTTTTTCTTCTCTTAATGATGTACTCCCATCAAGTCGTATCATCATCATCATCATTATCATCACCATCATTATCATCACCATCATTTTCATCACCATCATCATCATCATCGTCATCATCATCATCATCATCACCATCACTTTCATCATCATCATCATCATCATCAACATCATCATCATCATCCTCCTCCTCATCATCTTTACCCCTACTATCTTACCTTCCTCTCTCAGCACCGCTGTACTCCTCCCATGTCATCACTGACTCAGGAGGTCGAGGTAATGAAGGTCTTCTTTGGGTCTGAAAACAAAGAAAAACACATACTGGATGAAAGTAATCACAAAATAGGAAGTCTCACCATCTACCGTAAACAAACATTCATAGTTCCTGAACAAATTATAATGAAGTCTACATATACTTACCTGGGCTTTAAATTATCAATTTAAAAAAAAATATATATTATTATTATTGCTATCATTCTATTTCTAGTTATCTATTTGTTAATTTATTTATTTATTATTACTATTTTTATTATTAGCACTTTATTCCCTAAAATATAACTTCTTATAAAGTTTGAAGATTCGTACTTACCGGGAAGCAATCGACGGAAGGGGAACCTTTACTTATACTCTCTACTGCTGATTTATTCCTTTGTATATCCTCGTCTGATAAATGCTCTCTCCTACATGCAGTCAAAATAATGAAACGATAAGCAATTTATGGTTACATGGTGGTCAGACAAACATTACATGAAATTTGCTCTAGGATATAATTTTCAGAGATACAGTCAGGGTTGTGGCAGAGTTTTAGGTTAGAATTAGTTAAGATTACAGTTAGGTTAAGTTTTGGATTTGGGTTGAAGTATGGAGTTTGCACTAAAAAATAACAGTGGAAAATTGTCACTAGAGCATGTGTCTTACAATATATATATGTTAAACAAAGGTAAAATTATTTTTTTATAAAAATTGTGACTCATTCTAGAACATCACTCATTTTTTGCAGTATACAGTGCGTACAAGAAAAAACGAAACCCAGAATTATTGATGTTTTATCATAACTTAATCACAATTATAATTAATAAATGACACATATTTGTAAAGCTTAGATCCTCCTATTTCATTTGATGCAACTGATATGATGCATATTTCATGCATGAGTGATTGAAATCAATTTGAAGGAAGAGCACCAAAAAGTCATTTGGCGAACGGTATCTGAATCAGCCAGAGAAGAAAGACTTTATGCATGGCTGATTTTCAACGAAACGGATTTAAGTCTTTTGTCGATCCTGTTTGTTGCTACGGCAGGCAGCCAGTGAAAACGAATTTGTTTAATAAAATTATGGAAATGCAAGGTTTTGTTTTATGGGGACGCACTGTTTATATACCGGTATATATATATGTGTTATCAGATCATCACTTTTTCTCCCACTTCTTCTTTGTCCTCTTCTTTGTTTCCTCCTCCTCCAGGCTCCTCCTCCTTCTAACTCTTCTTCTTCTTCTTGAAATATGAATATTCTCAATTCTTTGGAGACATGAAAACATGTGGCTTACATATAAAGAACAACTCTTCTTCCCTTTTCCTAAATTCAATTTCAATTTGTATGGCAACACATCTGGAGGAGAGAGCAAGCGCTGCCTCTATACTCTCTTACCTTTTTCTTGATTCTATAATGACTCCTCCAACGTCGTAGAAGTCGGCATAGAAGCTCCCGACGAGCTCTCGTTTATCTCCCCTGAACAACCAGCCGCTTTGAGATCGGTTGAAGGTGATGGGTTTGGTGGAGAGGTTGACGGTGACGATGTCGCTGCTCATCAGGATGTCAACCTCTTCTTCTAGCTCAACATCTGATTGCTGGAATTAATGGAAGAAAAAATGGAACAGTTTTGGAGTAAATTCTGGAAAAAACTCTATTGAGTACATTATCAAGAAAGCTAGGGCATAAAAAAAATTGAAATTTGACATTGCTCTGGGATGAGTGTGATAATATACCTAAATTGTTTCACCATTATTTGTACATAATACATGAACATTTTGAAAGTGGGAGTGCCTTAAAATCCTTTAAAACCCTTTGAAAAAAGGACCTTCCTTGTATATGTAAGTATGATCCATGGATAAATGTGTTTGTAAAAAAAATAAAAAATAAAAGATAGAACAAAAAGAAAGAGATAGAGAGTGAGAAGGATGAAAGAAAGGACAGAAAAGGAAAAACACAAGGAAAGATAAAGAAAGAGAGAGAGAGAGAGAGAGAGAGAAACTGGCAGAGAGGCAGGGTGAGAGCTAGATTTAATACTAAATAAAAAGATATATACAGTAATTAACAAAAAACACATACAAGAGAGAGAAGAACGTGAAGGATTGGCATTCAATTTTTAAATAAAAACTAATTTCTGGGTCAGAGGGAGGCAGTACAAGCTTTAGTCTTAAAGCAGGACTGCACTACTTATAACTACTTGCGCCCTCTATATAGCAAACAATGCTTAAGTGGTGACCATTGATCCCCCATGATCCTCTTTTTCTTATGTTAATTGAGAGCTTATTTGATGAGATAACCACCTGTCGGTGACCATGCAGGGAGGTCTAATCCCTCCTAGCCAAACTAGTGCAGTGGGGATTTAATAACAAAAATGTAAGATAAAATATACCTTTCACAAGAACACAGCTTACCTCATAAGATAATCTTTGGTAGACTTTACTCTCATTATCGAGAAACACCAGCGACTTCTCCGCGGTCACGGTACCGTCAAAGAGGAACGTCAGGTCACCCTTCTGCCATTTCATCTCGGAGAAATCTACGAGGGTGGTATCCACGCGGATCTGGGCGCCCTTCTTGTAGATGCGGCAGGTGTCGGACGGGAGGATTCGGGATACTAGAGGTACTGAGGAGGGAACAGAGGGGCGGGGAACCGAGGGAGATAGAAGACGTTTAGTTCATGTTTATTTATTAAATTTACATCACTGGGTCATTCTCAAAGTAAATGAACAGGGGGGGGGGGGGGGGGCGTTTCACAAAACTTGTCATCAGTGACAAATGTCAGTTTTTTTTGTAAGCTACTGAAATCCTTGCTTCTGATTGGTCATCAGCAGATTTGTCACTGATTTTAGTCATTTGTCATTGAAATAAGGCTTTTTGAAACGGGTCCCAGACCTGCACATATTAAACCAACAGAATAAATATTGTTCTTACATGTGAAATCTAATGAAAGTTATCATGTTAAACATTGTAAGAAAAATTACAGTTGAATCATGTACGTGCATGTAACAGGTTACAAGCCAAAAGAATGTGAAAATAAGCATTGATATACCTACAGGTATACCGTGTGAGTAAAAAAAAAGTTTACACCTAGAAGATTGCTAATTATTTTAAAAATCATCTATAAACAGTAAATTAGTATACATCTTATGAAAGAGTGTTTTATCCCATATCATTTGGTATCATTTTTGTGTGGTATGTGTTCACGGTTGGATGAACAGGAGGCATTGTTGGCGAGAGTGCAAAAATTGACTTGCGCCAAAGTGATGCCTACAGTATGTATTATGTTGGGATTAGCAGAATGAGAGAATGAATTATGAAATGCAGAAGCAAAGTCACGCACACAAATACACATGCACAAAATAATATTCGTTGATATTTGATATTCGATATGTGAGGCATGATTAATTTTGTTAGGGATGTTATTTGGATCTGCAAAGACCAAATTAATACCCACATCCCAATTGTTTTATTCAAACATCACATAAGCAACTTTGGCGCAAGTCGATTTTTGCACTCTCGCAAACAATGCCTCCTGTTCATCCAAGCATGAACACATACCACACAAAAATGATACCAAATGATTTGGGATAAAACGCTTTTTCATATGATGCATAATAATTTACTGTTCATAGATGAGTTATAAAATAATTAGCAGTTTTCTAGGTGTAAACTTTTTTTTGACTCACACTGTATATACATGAAAGTGCTTGACAATTGCATACATTTTCAATACTATTGTTTAGCATGTTGAATTTTGTTTACAAATTCCTAAAAGAATTGTTACATAATTAGAAAATAATTACAGTTCACAAAGACTCATACTAAAACATACATGTACATGCATGCATATTTACTTTAGATGTACATGTATAAGGTATGTACATTTATGTCTACTTTATCATTTTCAAATATTTATGATAATTACTCAATGGGGAAATGCTTGACATATACATGGGTATGAAAAGAGAATCAGATATTTTTTCAAGGTTCCTCTCTTTAGCATATCAATCTTTGTTTACACATTTCAATGATTCCTAAAACACTGCTCCCCTTCTATTTTCACTCTACTGCTTTTTGGTGAATCATAAATATCTTCCTTTATCAATGTAAAGTGCAATTCTAAAATCATTCAACTTTAAATATTGTTTGTAAACATATTAGGATACGCATGACCAATACTTTTGGGTCCTTGCCAGTAGTTCAATAAGGTTCTAATTTATTAAAGCAAATGTTATTCCTGTATGGTGTGTTTGATACTTTCTCCCACACGGTGTACGTATATGTACAACCTAAAATAGTCTAGTAAACTGAAACCAATCAGGAGAGAGGAAATTAATCCTGGGATTAGACCTTGATATGTGGCTGAACTTCACAAGTAATTTATGCAATACGATCAGCCTTTACGATCAGCCTTGACAACTAGCTATTACTACAGTTGTATAATATACAGTATGGACATACATGTATTGTACGTGCATGAATTGTTAATCATAAACAAGCCAAACTGGTGCAGTACGATGACTATAATGCAATAAAGTTTATCTACTGAATGAACAAATTTCTATCATTACACAATATACAGTACTGTTGTAATATTTGGCCATGAATTTGCCAAACTGGTGTGAGAATACTGTATAGAATGTAAATGTAGGCCTAGTTAGAATCTATGCATACAATGTCCATAATCTGAATTATAATAATACAGTACTGACAAACTTAATTATCAGGATACCGTAATGACACTATAGGGCCATGAATTGATATTATAAACATGCCGTAATGGAGTAGGTACACTGATTACCATACATTCAAACTGAAGAAAAGTGAGATTTGAACCACTATATAAAGCTCAATGTTTTACACTTTGACCCCATTTAAAAATAGAAAGGAAGTTTTGCATCTCACTGCCTTTTTGTATTATACACAAAAGTGCAAAGTATAATATCAAATCATGAAATAAAGCAAATAATTTTTGCAACTAAACTTAGATCTCCCTGCTTGAACTGCGATTGAATCTCAGTAACGGTAATTAGTGATATTTGGGGGGGAAATTATACACACAATAGCTTTTTAACATGGTTCAAAACTCTATATCCATTTATCTCATTAACATGTTAACAGCCTATCATACAGTTAGCATCTTTGCACACCGGCAATATCTTTAATCTTATAATCAAACATGACAATGTAAATTTAATTTGATATCACAACAAGGCCAAGCCTATTTTAGAGATTTAATCATATGAAAGGTGACTAATATTATTAGAAATATAGATCTTTCAAATTAAAAATGCTAAATTTCTATAGAATCTACAAAAAGATTGATGATCAAAGCTATGAACGTACAGTATTTATGTAAGGTAAACAAATTGGCAATATAATTTCACAGGTAGATATTATCCAATACTGACTATATGATGATTATTATAATTACCATTATCTACAATGAAGATGGCAGATGCACTATAATCTGTTTCTTACATGCTTTTAAATAATGTACGCCTGTAATAACTGCAAGAACACCAATTAAGTTGGTATACTGCTTTTTGCAATTCTTTATATTTCTATAACTAGTATTATTACCCAAATCCGATCATATACACATAATGTTAATTCAATTCAATTCAATTCAATTCTGGTTTTATTGTAAATAAAAACATACTGAATAAAAAGTCCGGAGACTCATACAATTCAGTTTACAAATTATAAATACATACAAGAATAAAGAAATCAATACTTTTAGCAATCTTTTAAAAAATATTACTTACTAATTCTAATGAACTAAACAACTAATTTCAAACAATCGTGAAATAATACCTGTTCTAATTGTGCAATTAAAACTTTTAAATAGTAAAATAAGTTGTTACCATTTTCTAAATGTCATATGCAATTTTGTAATACACTTTCAAATTAATAAGTAGTCTTTTTTAAACCTACTTAACATTTCTTTAAAAATATATTTATATATAGATGATTATCCGAGAGATATGATAATTCAAAATATACAATTTATGTTAACTTACAGAGTATAGTCCTATCATTTTACAGGTAGTATAAAATCTGATTTAATCTGATTAATTGGCATGACAAGAAATTAATTAATTACATCTAGGTCACATATGGTCATAATATTGAGTGAAAATATCTATAGATTTGAATTCAGGATTCGTGTGAAGTGGGGAATGGGAGACTGCCTGTAACGTTCTGTTCTCATTTTGGGGGTATTGAGCTGGAGAGAGTTGCGGAGAGTGCGTCGTGAGATAGTTTGTCTGGTTTCAGGTAAGAGATGGCGGTGGCGGTCTGAGATCAGCAGGGACTTAGCAAACTTTTCGCAAAGAACAGAGCGTCGTTCAGACAGTCTGACAACACTCAGCGACTGCAGAAGTTGAGCATAAGACATTGTGTCGGGAAATGTACCAGTGATAATACCCAATGCTCTCCTCTGCAGTCGCTCAATGCTGTTTACTTGGACAACAGTTAAACTAGATGACCAAACGGGTACACCAAATTCAAGACACGGACGAATGTACATCATGTATATCAATACCAAGTCCCGAGTGTTGACACCGTTCCTTTTCAGTTTACTCAGTACATATAGTTTGCGTGATGCGTTTTTGACGATGGTTTTGATGTGTAGATCCCATTTAAGATTATCTTGGATTGTTATACCAAGTAATTTTATATAAGATACCACTTCAAGCTGATTACCATTGATCTCCAAATGGGGGGTAGGCGGTGCATTACGCAAGAATGAGATCAGCATGGTTTTGCACTGCGTTGGATTGGGCCTCATGTCGTTTATTTCACACCAATCAACAAGAGAATCAATGTGTGTTTGTAACTGCGGAGGGTCCGACTTGTTGACAACCTCTAGAAGGCTTAGATCATCAACATATTTCCAGCGGTTTTCTGTAGACAACGCGGCATCATTAACCATTATCAGGAAAATAATGGGTCCTAGTTTAGTTCCCTGAGGAACACCACAAGTGAGGTGGGAAAGATTTGATGTAACCCCGCGATAACGAACAGTTTGCGTTCTTTGCGTCAAGAAACTACAGATAGTCGGGAGAATGGAGCGGTCAACTCCTATGTCAATCATTTTTCTGATTGCTGTGACATGGTTGATATGATCGAAAGCTTTACTGAAATCGATCATGCATAAGTTAACATACTTCCCAGGTCGGTCAATTCCCCGATGAGCATTATCCAAGAGACTGATTAAGTAATGGCAAATTGATGTTCCGGGCATGTTCCCAAACTGTTAATCCACTCCATGCTATGCTATGGTATATACATAATGTAAATACATAAGTGTTGAATTATTTGTTTAGACAAATCAGGTATGGTTTGAAGATTTGTATGGAAGTCTATTTATTCATTTTTTGCCCCCTCCCCCAGAAAAGAAAATGACATGTATTCATAATATGTGACATATATTTATATCTTACACATTACATACCTGCCAACCTGAGACAAGAGAAATTAGGAGTAAATTTTTCTGGATGGACTACGAGGTCGCGAACCACCGAAGGATTGGGGTAGTAGCCCGTAGATTTGGCGGGGGGGGGGGGGGGGAACTAACGATCACGTTCGGGCTGCGCTGTGTATATCTTCTATGAGCGCGAGCGCGGATGTCGGCGTGGTCTGGTTATCAGTGCTGTGTTATGCTTTAGTCTTATACATACATACATACATATTGGTATTTATTGAGCGCCTTTACATGAACATGCTCAAGGCGCTTTACATTTCGAAATACAAACATAATAGCTATATACTCTCCAAGTGCATAACACTCTAAAAAAAAAAAAAAAAAAAAAAAAAAAAAAAAAAAAAAAAAAAAAAAAAAATTAAAAAAAATCGGAGTTTTGAGGCATGCATTCGGAATTCGGAGTTGGTATGAAAAATGCGGAGGAACTCCGCCTAAATCGGGGTGGTTGGCAGGTATGACATTAGCACAGAGCATTCTTGTCACATAAGGGAGCTACTAAATAAGAAAATATTTAAAATAAAAAACAGCTTTTGTGAGATGATCCCTCATTCAATTCAATTCAATTTCGGTTTTACAATGTACAATGCAGTAGTCCAGGGACCAATAATGCAATGTTTACATAAAATGTGCATAAAAACAGGAATGATCATATAAATGTACAATAAAAATGATAAAAGATAAAGTTAATATAATTTTCATACCTAAAGTTATATACATATACAAATAAATGATAATAGATGGATTAAAAACCTATAACAGTAACTTGAAATGTTGAACCAATTATTCCAAGTAAACATAATCTTTAAATTAAAAATATATTTATATATAGACAGAGAGGAAATTATTATATTGCAATTGTTAAAATGAGATCCATAGACTTAAAAATATATATATAACATATGATGCAAAAAATACATACAAAGTAATAGAAAAATTCTAGAATGGAAAATGTTTTCAAAGTGTTCTGATGATAGGGAATCTATATGCAGGCAGGCTTACCCCAGCTTTGAAAGTCCCAATGGAGCTCCATATAAAAGTCTCCTAGATCCGTCAGGAGCTGAAGAAGTTGGGGTCTCCTCTGCTCCAGGAGCTCCCTCGACTGCTGCTTCAGTTTCCGTAGCAACAGGGATACTGATAAGACGAAGAAGATTTGTTTGGAGAAAGAGAAAGAGAATGGTTCATTATTATTTTTTAATAGTTAAACTAAAATAGGCCATTTTTGTAGTGTAATAAAATTTATGCATTAGGTATACGCCTTTGTGAAGCACCTTGATACAAGTTATTCCATTCACCTGTTACAAATAAATGTATCTCAATAGTCAGAAAGCAAATTACATGTATTAGTTGTTGCTAGGTAGGACAAACATCATGGCTTGCCCTACCTAAGAGGAAGAAGATTATTAATGCCTGGATTACATTTGGCCTGCGATTAGTCTAAGGAGCCTGTATCCTGCCCGTATCTCCTTTTTCATGCGGCCTCCGTGCAGAGGCAGGGGGCGGCGGTGAGATTTCCGTACGGATTCACGGGTTCCGTAACCTCTACGATTTTGTTTCGCGAGAAGTTATACAAATTTGAGAAATCGTAAGCCCGTAGCCCGTAGATGTGTCGTAGGTGGCATTGCACAATTCCCGCACACACATCCCTCGAAGGCCTCGCACTGATCGTGCATATATACTGGGGACTCGCACGCTCAAAAATGGCACGGTGGCTGCACGGTCACCGCACTTTCCCGTGCAACCTCTGCACGGAAGCTGTACGGGCTCCGTACGATTTCTGTGTGGAGGCTGCGATGACTGCCTGGCTACTGCACTGAAATCGCACGATTGCCCTACAATCTCCAAGCAGACTCTGTACGGATTTGCCCCGGCCTGCCCCCGAGGGCCAATACAAGAAATGGCACGATGCTCGTAGATAATGTAAACATAAGTAAAACATCATGGCCTGTAGCTTCCTACGATGCCCCCAAAATCGCACGAAAAAATCAAAGACCAATTTATCGTAAGGCGCCCGGGGCAAATGTAATACAGACATAAGCAGTAGCAGATAAAGACACAAAAAGACAAGAAAAATAAAAAGAAGAAGAGGAAAAGCAAAGGATGAAAAGAGAAAGAAGAATACAAGGTATGATTTAGTAAGTATAAAAATTAATTTTCAAAAGGTAGTGTGAGAGAGGAAGTATAGAAAAATACAAAAATGTGCAAAATCAAATTTACTTTCAATGTGAAAATATTTTATCACAGAGTATGCATAAAGTCAAGTGTATCCGGTTGTTATGGATGAACCAAGTAAACACCTCATAATCAAAACTAAACTTGCCATGTCAATAAAACACTCATAAAAACATGATAGCGTGGATTTTATATTTATTCTTCACTCTCTCTTCTACTTTTCCTATTTCCTGTTCAGCTTTTAATTATTATATAATGGTCACACTGCAAAATTGCTAAGCAAGGGGTTTTCCCTTTCTACTTTTCTGTTTTTGTGAACAAACATTGAAGGCACAGTTTTCACAAGTAAGACATTTGTTTTTTTTCTACAAAATGGCTGTTATTCGTTTAATCTGTAACGTGCAAGAGAGCACTCAAGAAACCATAGAAAAGTGTTTGCGCTAGCTGGGAAAGAGGAAAATGTTACCTTGGTTCGTTTACAAAATGCATTCAGATATGTAATGTATCTCTGCTCAGTACTTAAGGATTCATACTTACTTTAATAACACTATGTACATTTATATGTAGTATATTGAAAGCTGAGTTACAGCTCTTATACTATAGTCATGTCACCCTAAACTTTCTGTAAATAATAGGGTTTACACATGTGTTTTCATATAATATGAATATGAACATTTACGAATTACACTATATACATATATATATATATATACAACCATGTTCCATTAGTCTGCCTTATCCAATATATATTTTGCTCTGCCCATAAGCATTGAGCACTGTACGGAGGAATAGACCAAATCTAAGTATATATACATGTATATATAGAGAGAGAGAGAGAGACTATTTTGGGATACCCCCTTCCATAACCTACATGTTTAGAAATCCATCACAGTACCTGAGCAATTACAATAGCCCCTTCACCCATGAGTAAATCTTATTTTATTGTATTGTATTAGTTAAGTCTTATTTTGAACGTATTTGCACCCAGGTTTTAGAGTAATCATGTACTTTTAAGAATGCTACCAGTTGCCTGATGATCGCTCGTAAGGCGTGAAACTCAGAGTAGAAACCATGTTCCATTAGTCTGCCTTATTCAATATATATGTATTTTTACAACTATTCTATTTATAATATACATTATTCTGTATTCATTATAATCTTGTATTCAATTATTGATGTTTTCAAAACAAAATATTGATATATATATATATATATATATATGAAGTTCAATGAATAAAATATACATATACATACGCTAATTCTAACCATTTTATTTGAAAGTCCCTTGCTAAATGCACCTACATGTACATGTAACTACACCTTTAAGACTTAGACATTTATATCTTCTGAGGGTTAGAAGAAAGAAAACCACCCAGCAACGTTTATCAGTGTGTCATAATTATGTTTGATTGTCTTATTAGGGTCAGGGGAAATTGGTCCAACTCCATATCTATTAAGACCGCTGTATAATAAAAACGGGTCAATCTTCGCTTCATTTCTGAGCGAGGAGGATGGACAGACACCCCTATCTCAGTATCGGGTTCCAATTAACAATGCCATAATTGCTACAAGGACAGGGAGGAACCTACTTCACACTGGTAAAAATGAAGTGAATGAGGCCCCATTTACACTGGGAGTTAGGGTGTTTCTTGCAGAGACTTCACATTATAAAAAGAGTAGAAAGTTTAGGTTGCCTTATTAAGGGCGCTTTGGAAGCTGTTATGGATAGAGATGAGAGGCACCCTCAAGCCAGTTTGAAATGTCATCAAGCTTGTAGGCCACTTCAATCACCGATTCAGAACAGATATATATATTCCCACATGTGAACCTATTAAATCACATTATAATTCCTATGAAAGAGTTATCCCTATTCATACAAGAGGATCACTTTACTTCAGGAACTATCTAGACCTACATGTAATCCCTGGTTCAGTCAAGAGGTGAAATTTTCAATAATTAAAAAAATTAATTCCAAGTTTCTTGTCCCTTCCTCCTTTCTTTCTTCAGCCTGACTCACTTTTATCTTTTTTTGTGTCTCTGTTTTTAAATGAAATAAATTAGAGGTCATCTAGACGATAGCATTTATTAACACTGTTAATATTGAAATCACACTCTGTTTTGAGCCTCTACATATTGATTTACAAAAAAAAATGAATTACCCAAATTTGTGTTGAAATTGATCCAATGGCAAATAGGCAAAGGCATGTACGGAAAATATATCAAATATCATATGAAATAGAATCCCCTCCTCCTCACTTTCAGAACATCAGGATGAGAAACTAGGAATTAATTTTCCTTGGTCTAATAAACTTGTGTACTCAAGCAAGGTAAACTGATACCAGTAACAAATTACATTCACATTAGAATAATTACAGTACTGCAAAGAAAAAATGATTTCACTGAAATGAATTTGCTATATACTTAGGCTACTGAATGTTATTTTGTGAATGTTTCAGTTCAATTGAAATAAGGTAAAAATATAGATCAATATTTACAAGTATAAAAAATTGATAAAAAGTGTTGTTAAAAAGAGTTGTCATGTATTAAAAAAAAAACACAAACGAACAGTTGAAAATACATTATATAACTAGCACACAATGTGGGCAATAGTGGGGGTTGAATTGAAGATGGTTGGAGTCTTAGTACTTTCGACCATTGTAAACAAAGAAAAACAAAACAAAACAAAGAACCTTCAAACAACATGGCCATGGAGAGGGAAAGAGAGAGAGGGAGAGAGAGAGAGAGGGAGAGAGGGAGGGAGAGAGAGAGAGAGAGAGAGAAAGGGAGAGAGGGAGAGACAAGAGAGAACAAAAGAGGTATAAGAATACCACCAGCAATTTCATCAAGGTCAATTTTATTCATATCATCTTGACCACTGGGACCTAGAACTTTCGCATGCAAGATGATTTTTTTTTAAATTGTGAGTGATCTAGATTCGTGAAAGTTTCATGCCATGGTGTGATTGCATCAAAACACAAAGTGTCCAACAGCAAAGATCACCTTTATTGATGATTGGTATATTTCATAAAAGTCTCCTTTACTACACTATTTCGATGTGTTGATGAACAAGTATCCCATTATGAAGGTTACTGGTTCAAAACTTTTCATTAGAACCTCTCACTCTTGCTCTCTCAGATAGAAATGGCAAATGGTAGTTGGATAATCCTTCAGGGGCATCTTCAATAAGTTGGGCAGGCCCCAAAACCCTACCCCCCCCCCAATATTTCCCTAGACTTTAATAACTGACATTTTTTTTAAAGATTTAAAAAAAGAGTCTTCATCTACAAAAATAGAGGGAAGTCACATCTCTCCACAGTATCACATATCTTTCATCCCCCCTCCCCCTCCCTTCCTAGGTGACTATGGGTGCATAATTGTTAAAAAGGTTGGATAACTTAAGGAGGCTCTGCCTCCCCCCCCCCCTCCTCCCCCCCCCCCTCCCCCCCCCCCCCCCCCTCCTCCCCCCCCCCCTCCTCCCCCTCCCCCCCCCCTCCTCCCCTCCTCCCCCTCCTCCTCTCCCTCCTCCTCCCCTCCTCCCCCCCCCCCCCACCGCCGCCCCAACATTACTTAGAATCTGCTCTTACAATCCCAGCATAGAGCCAGAGTTGCCTGCATGCTGTCAACAAACTCACACTCCTAACTCCACACTCTCAACTGACCTCTCGGTCCGACCTGGATCGATCCGAACCGAGCCTGAGTGTTGTGTGAATAAGGCCTCTGGCTACTACATGGCACATACTATCTCCATGCCCAGACATACTGATGAAATATGATCGCTATGTTTACCCTATTGCAAACAGACAGTATACCCATCTACTTTTATAATATACATTGTCTCATGGTTACTCCTAATTAAATTCATGGATGTGCATGCAGGCAGGCCGATGTGCAATAAAATGTAATTTCTCTATTAAAACTCAGATATTGAACTGAAAGTGACTCGGTAACATTGCCTCAGATTC